AACTAGTACGATTTTTTCTAAGTTGCAGTTCTCCTCCCGCCTAATACGGAGGAGACAGGCCGAGTGTCTACGTGGATTCAAACCCACTTGAGAGCCTTAACAACCAGTACGCGCAACCTGCTCCTCCCGCCAAATACGGAGGAACGGTTCCTCCAAAATGGAGATAGCACAGGGTTTTCCACAATTACATTAAGCTGCAAAAGTGGTGAGTAAAATTTGATTGATTCTTCGTAGGATAACTCTCCAATAATTCGTGAAGACATAGCATTTAGACAATTAAAAATAAATCTTTCTAACCAAACAATCCAATTTATCATCAGCACAAAAACCGTAATATTCAAAAATGGTTGAGAATCATTATCATTGTTATACTGCCCACCTCTTAAATTGAATTTTCTTCACTCAGTAAACTTGAGAAAAATGATAATCTAAGACTGCTCCCAATAGAAAGGAACTGTTCTTTACACCACAGACTAATCTGTTAAGTTGCATCACCTTAATTTCTTTACACTCGCTATTCTTCCAACAAAAGAATCTCATTTAGTTTTGTTCCTCCGGCTGAACGCTCACTTACAAAAAAGCCTTATCAATATCTGCAGTAACACCATGTTTAAATTATCTAAATCTGAGAACACTTGGAATGAGTTCTAATAAATTGGGACCAGATTCTAGACACTGGTTTAGAGATGGGGATCCAATTTGCCTGGCAGACCCATCAAACACAGGACGTACTTTTGTACTACCATGTTCCTTAACTACAGGTTCTGCGAGGAAGAAAGTGCTGGTGTCAAACATGCGCATCTGTGACACCATGTATTATTCCCAATTCGGCTCGTTTCTTAAAGACATCATCATATGTATCAAATATCTCTGGATGTAGCGTTTTTGTTGCAGCTTCAAGTCTCTTTAACGCTACATCTTTGTTGGCGAGAACATGCAAAGATCGTCTTCCCATGGCAAGGCAACTTCTTACCTTCCATCATTCATAATTCTTAGTGTCTCTTGAAGATATTTCTTCATAAGAAATTCCTTTTCTTTTCGTGATTTTACCTCGACTGGATAGGATATTCCTAGGATGTCTAAAGAAAAAAGGTCAGGAGTATTAGCATCTTTCACAAACATTGTTACAATCGCTATTGCCGTATTTTCTCTTTCAGTATTCACTGATGTATTTTCAATTAATGTCCAAAACAAATAACTTTCTATAGCTACAATATCGCTACAAAGTACTCTTGTTCTCCCGGTGAAAGGTCGACCAGCCACGTCTACACCAACTGAAAGATCAATAAGCCCTGATAAATCTTTAGTGCCATAAATGGTATATTCATGGACTGTAACTCTAACTCATGGATCGTTTAAGACAAAGTACAGCATCACAAATTGCATCTTGCTCAGAAATATCAAAACTACAAGTAAAGCTATCGTCTAGGCTCTTTAGCTTAATTCTGTAAACATTATGTAAATTTTCAAGCGTTCGTTTTCCTCCAAAAACGGCATGGGTCAAAATCTATTTTCTAGAAGGTATCAGACCTAGAGTAGAAATTAAGTCCTTACTCAAATAGGATTTTTTGCGAATCTGTGTCATATAAAACTCAAACACAAAGTGCGTTCCTGTTCGCTGATCTGCCGTGCCTACCTAATATAATAAACTAGCTCTTTGCCGGCTCAATGAAGTAGTGTGTTTGAGGGCGATAAAAGTAAAAAAGGCCATCAGTTTAAAACAAAAAGCACGAGGGCCGGAGCATAAATGGCTAAGATTAGTGGATTATTCAGTTATGGCAAAGCACACGAGGGCTATCTGCCTAAAGGGAGGGATAGCCTTCGTGGAGGACTTTCTAAGGGAAACTGGCTCGTATACACGTTACACATGGGGAAAACCACGAAAACACCCATGCAGCCAGCCCGTTCGCGGGATTCGAACCTCAGACCGAACTACCAGTGTTCAGCGTCTTTACCGCTCGGCCGCTGGTGGGCATAAATGGCTAAGAAGAAAGTTAGTCGTGAAGTTAGTCACGAACCGTACTTGAGAAGTGGCGCCATCTAGTAAGGTCTGGAACACTTATTCACAATCATCGCTTTGAAGTAGTTGAAAAAGGATTAACGATTCAACTCCTCGACTAATCCAATAAACTGCAGAACAAGTTGTAGTTTGTCTTCTTGAGAGTTCATATTTTTGAGAATCGTAACAAACTGCAAAATTTTGCCGAAGAATCCAGCAGATTTTTCAAGAATATTAACAACTTAGGTATCAGCCTTTGAAGTAATGTCCGAAGTCAATTTAGCATCTGAAGCTTTTGAAGCAGCAGCAACATCAGGAATAGATTTTCCGGGATGTGCAGTTTTATTTCTAATTTCTCTGCGCGGCTCAGGATTTAATATTACGATTCATCGGATTTAATATTGCGAATTTGGGGAAAAAATTCACATCCTTTAAACGACGCAATATGCGATTTTTTACACCTAACAGAGGCAGGTTTTTCTCCTTTGGGAAAAGTGTAGGTTAGATGGTCAAGTCCAACTTTAGACTCCTCAGCGCATTATTGGTGGCCAAACCTTTGGAAACGGAAACTCATTATGGTGTTCCTGTTTGACCTGAATCGACGGATATTAACATGAAGATACAGGACTCTCCTTGTAAATACTGCCAGTATTATTTCTAGTCAATGGCGCGAAAAATGCAGGCAGCTTCGTTTCAGTTCCATTAGATTTCCGAACAAATTGTGTACCTTTGAAGATCGGAAAACCATCATTAATGAATTAAGTGCCGAGACGATTAATATCCGAATCTTCCGGTAATCCACGGTTACAAATCGCGAGAGGTGAGTCTTTTTTCAGTCGAAAAGTACTGAACTAGAATTTATTTTAAAGAAAAACTGTGAGTGGGAGTTCTCGACTGGCAGCGTTGTCAAATATGATAGTAATTTTTTCACTGGTCAGAATTCTTGTATATCCTTTTACGCCATGTTTAGTAAAAAGGCTTCTAATTTCCTTCGAAAAGTGGGGTAGGGTTTGGAAATACGCTTCCGGGATACCACCAGTCGAGGACAGACGATAGGCGGTACAAGTTCTTTACTTTTTCAAGTGAAGCAGCGACAACATCTGAAATGGTGACGACGCTAACATTCAGTTGATTTCTCTCTGTAGCAGAGGGTTCATCATTAGTGTCTATCATGTTCTCAGAAACAGGATCTGTTTTAAGGCTTCAAAGCTGTTCTTGGTAGAGCTATTAAGAATTAATCCGTGGAGGTAACAGTTTTTCAGGAGCATGATCAGGCGCAGGCTTGTTAGTCTGAGTTTTAAAACTAATAATCTGAGTTGGTGTTATCTTAGCAACTTTGGACGGAGTAGTCCATTATCATCAGATTTGGAGGTAGCGAAACTAGCAGTATCACTTTCAGCATTCTAAGGCGTTGGTTTCCTGTTTTTCCGTTCGGGATTGGGATAAAAAGGCATCATCAGAAGAGCACGCTGAGCGATCGAGTAGTTTAGGGTCTCTGAAGGAAATAATATCAATTTTCAGAAATTTTAAATAGTCAATAAATTATTTTCCTCTCGATGAAGACGAATATCAAGAGGATAGCCTGATAGGACTTTACGTCAGTCGAATTGATGATCGTTCGTGCCCAGTTTTGAGATTTAATTCCACAAGACATTTCGTTCTTCAAACCGAAACCAGCCATAGCTGAATTTATACGTTCTTCGGATTGTACTTCTGATTTAAAAATTCTAATAAACAGTCTTGTCTACATTTTGCATCTGAACCATTGTCGACAGGGTCTTAAAACATCCTCAGGTAAGGAAGGTTCAATTAGAGGATAAAGGAGTGCAGCACTTTTATCTGTAGTGGCCCAACGGTTTCCAGAGCCCGAAATGGTTGTTCCATATTATCATGTATATATTACATTATCATATATATTACATTATATTCGGCGAAAACGATTCTTCAAACATTCTATGGCCTTGGTATAATTAGCAGCTGTTAAGGAGATAACTTTCTATAACCTCCTTCACACGCTAACCATTAACAGTCTCTTACTAACAAACACTGCAATTTATCACTGTCAGAAATCGTAGTATCTTTGTCAATTTTTGAAAATAACTCCAAAAACATAATCATTCTTTAATTTCACCATCAAATTTTCGTAATTCAAGTTTTGGAAGTTTAAATGTACGTCGGCATTAACAGATTTATTCAAAATCAGATTTGAAGTACTTACATTTTGTAGATAAATTCCAACTGCAATTTTGAAGAATCTAAAAATGTTCGCTTATGCGTCAGAATAATTTATTTACTACACTACTAGCATTTCACGGACTCTAGAGTCTTATAAACATATTCCATAGTGTTGATTTTTACTGAACATAAGTTTCGATCTTAATTAAATACAAAACTCATGTAAATAACAAAACATTCTTTTAGCAATCTCACTCACTAGATGCACATATCTTTGCAAATTCTATAAGTTGTTTTGTTGCCACTTCGACAAAACAAAAATAAGAATAATTATTAGTGACCAAACGACATTAAGTAAATAAAATTAAATGAAAGTACATATAGAATACAAACTATTTGTTCTTTTAGAAATCTTACTCACTAGATGCACATATCTTTGCAAATTTTATTAGTTGTTTTGTTACGATTTCGACAAAACAAAAGTAAGAATAATTATGAGTGACCAAACGACATTAAGTAAATAAAATTAAATGAAAGTACGTATAAAATACAAACTATATGTTATATGAAATACAACATTATCGGTTTCAGCATGTTGAATTGAGTCTTGACATAATATTTTATAATACTGACTGATAAAGCTCGTGAGATAAAGTTCGCTCATTCCTTATATAAAAAAGAACAAAAGTTATACTTATTATTTTATTTATTACGAATTTGGTTAAAAATTTTAAAAGTATTTGTCATTTAATGGCCTTTTAAAACTGCAGTTAGTTATTTTACTATTTTCTGTCATCGAGTCAGAAAGAAAACACCTCAACAGACGACTATACTGTTTGGCGGCAAAGTCGTGCCTTGTTCCTAGTGCGCGGTGTTTTCAGATTATTGTGCCAGTCGGTTTTAAGTTCTTGTTTTATTTAAAGCTCCACCGACTGAGGAAGATATCTTAAAAGTTTTAAACGAATATTGTACGCATATTTTTAATTTACTTTCATTTGCTCCTTGTGTGCTGCAAATAGTGTAATTTTCGTTTGTTGAAAGCAAATGTTTCTTTCATGTATTATAGTCACCGAATATTGATTTTATGTGTATTAAAATTCCTTTACTTTTATTGTAGTTAACTGATATAAATGAACCTTTGTTCTGATTTTATATACAGTTGTTTACCTCTACTTTATCTTTTATTTTTAAAATTATGTATCTTTTATTAGGATGTTTTTTACCGAAAATTTTAAGGCGGTTATCAATAATTTGCGAAAATAAATGTAATAAATGTAATTAATATTGTATGTGTCGTATTTTGGAATTAATGTAGTTAAAAACTAGTACAGTTAAAAATCTTAGATATAACTTTTGAAGGTACAACAAAATCCGATTAAGAAATTTGCCAAGGATCTTATTAAAAACTGCTTGAGCGGGAATATTTTTGCTTCAGATTATAGTTACTCACAACATAGTTTGCTAGCAACATAATACTGAATTTATAACTTTATTAATCATATTCGACTCATGGTGTATGTACCGTTTACTGCTCATTATAAAGTAGCCAAATCCCTTGTGTACCGGATACTAGGATTAAACGTTATTATTTTTTAATTAAATTTTAATTAAAAAATTATAATTCGTTTAGAACTTAATTAAATGTGTAAAATAGAACAAAATTTCCTGCAGTTTTGTATATTTTTTTCTTTGATTTATCATAAATTTAAAACAAAACTCATGTTGAATGTAACATTTTCTGGTAACATTTAAATTGCCTTCAACTCTTAAAAATCCAAATGATGATAGTAAGTGGTATGAGAGTATTGAGAGTTAAGTTGTATTTACAAAAACAAAACAAACAAAAAAAAAATGCTTCACTGCTGTAAAAACAAGATTGATGTTTCCAATTCAGATTGGGAAAATATGTGCTGTCAATAAAAATTTCTTTAACAATATAAAGAGAGAAATTCTGTTTTTTAAAATTTCTTTAACGGCAAGTGTTAAATTCGCAAGTAGAAAAATCGTTCAAGATTAAATGTTTTATGTGAACATTATGAAACTATGAAAAATGTTTGGTGTAATGGGTTTAATCTTAGTATCTGGTTCACAAGGGATTTGGGGACTTTATAATGAGCAGTGAACCGGACATATACAATGAGTAGTTAAATGTGTCATTTTGGTGTTAGCAATAATTTTCAAAATCGTGCCAAGGTTGCACCTTATACTAGGATTTTACCGTGTATTATTAAATGAATTTCTTAATGGAATTTAAAGTATGTGGTTACAGTAAAAACATAACAAATAAAAAAGTCATGGGTAAACTACAAGTAACTATCACAGTATTTCTTCAGATTAGTCTATATTTTCGGGTCTCACTCTGGATTATCGCCAAGTTGTTTCATTTATCGCCAAATTGCTGTTTCATTTATGATAACCTGAGTAGTTGAATGTTATGGAAACCCTAGTATGACTGATTGGTTATGTGATTGCAGTAAATACGACTGATTGGAAAATATTTGTAAGGGCTTATTTCTGCATTGGATGTCAGGTAGGAAGTACGTTGCTTATTTTGTGTTGTACACCATAAAATGGCTGTATGTGATGAGATTAATCTGAAGTTTCTGTACGATTTTGAACGAAAGGGGGGGAAAGCATTAATTGACTGGTGTGTAAATGAAGGTTTACTTAGTAGTCACTATAAGTCTCTTGTTTGTATGAAGGAAATGCGTATGGTTGAACGTACAGATTGTTCAGATGGGTTTGTCAAAAGAAAGGTTCATGCAAAAAATGCCTCCGACAATACAAAGAATATATTTTTCTCTTATTTTTTTAAATTTATGTGATGACAATATGCATATTCTTGTTCAGATAATTTTAGAAAGTTCTTGGATGCTGTTAAGGAATTTTTGTGTTTGAAGGCACAGAAATTTCTAAGTATCGTTAAGTCGCTATTTCGTTTTTTATGTTATTTCATTGTGTGATTTAAAATGCAGTTTATTGAGTTTTGAATGGCTACAAATTTTTGTTCAATTTTGGTGACGAGTAACTTTGTTTTAACATTATATGATGTATTCATTCTCCTAATTTTTTTAAGCAAAAATAGATTGATGTGTACATGGACGAAGTCAAAGTAGTGTGCAATGCTGAATTTGTACAATTCTCTGATTTTTTTTTTTTTTTTTTTTTTAAACTGAAAATAGATCGATGTGTACATGGACACCGAGTTTGTGCAATTCTTTAACTGGTTATTGTTGTTTCGTGTTGCGGCCATCTTTGTCTTCCTAGCAAATCACCAATTTTCGCCAAGGGGCACCCTCAAATATATTTTTATCTTTCTTTAAAAGGAATGTACATTCCACTAGGAATGCATAACAATATAAACATTACAATATCTAATAAAAAATCTTCTCCATTCTTCTTGTTTGTGCTGCTCTGTAGGTCTCAAATTATCTATAAATAATTAAACACAGTGAATGTGCAGCTGACTCAGCGAAATCAGATTAAGTGTCAGTTCATGTTTGCTTCGCTGTGACTACTCAGATCTTGTATTAGGCATAAAAAAGGTATTTCACCCGCCTTTTTGGTGTAATGGTCAGCACGCTCAGTGCATATTCATAAGGTTAGAGTCCCGGCAAGGGTATTGCACGTTTTTCGCATCTCCTGCTTCCAAAAATAACCTAATGGCTCTACAGTGGTGCTTGAACTAAAAAAGGTGGTGGATGCCAATTCTCCACCACCAGGATTTGACGACTGGTTCCTAAAAAGGGAACTTATTGAAATTACTGTATAGAAAAATTACAGATTCGCTTTTAGCAAGCACACTTCAGTGTTGCAACACACATCTGAAAATCCTGGTGCACTGGTATTTGACCAACTTTCTTGAAGTACACTCATTCGATCACTGTTAAAAAATGCTTATGAAAACTCCTGCTTCCTAAATGGATCTGCAGATCATTCTTTCTTTTTCAAATCTTTTGTTGGTGCTCTGAAATTCACATATTTTGGATGATATACTTTTCCATTAGGGTTAGCTGCATAGGTTTTAAACCTCCTCCCAGTTGTCTGTGATATTGTGGTTTTTGTGGAAGATGAAACCAATTCACTCTTTAGTCATGGGCAAGAGAAACTGCTGTGTTGATGATTGAATGGAAAATCGCAAGTGGTTAGAAAACATCATTTTTATTTTGGACAGGAAAAATTCTTCAGAAATGCAGTTTTGCTTAAACTTAAACCATGCTAGGGATGCTAAATGCTTCTCACATGGTTATACATCATTTCCATTTTAGATAATAGGGAAAGAAGGGGAAGCAAGAGGCATAGCTTATTCAAGCAGCAACAGGTGAGAAAAGGTGATTTGTATTAACTGCAGTCATATTTATAAGTCAGAAAGCATTTTCTTTAATCCTGAGCAGCGACTGGGTTTAAGATTTTGCGTTGAAGCGAAAGAGTAATGTAACATGCTGCAGATTTATGTAAAATGTTGTGAAGCTTATCCTTGAAGTGGGGATGAGTTTAATTAAAATGCAATAAAAAAAAGGGAAGTACGCAGCTAAATGTTATACAAATCTTTTATACAAAATTTAAACGTTTTACTACTAATCGTTTTTGAGTTATGCAAGATATATACATACGTACATACAGATGTCATGAAAAAATCTTGTGTTTTAATCCACTTTACAGTCCTATTCTGTCTGTATGTACAGACGTCACACCAAAATAATCTTCAGTAATGGGTAGTCAAAATGGATATTTCTATTGAAATATGGTACCTGGAATTTTTTCTGATTACAATACGTCTATGATTCATAAAAAGGAATAAAAAAAACATATTTGGCAAATATTTATGATTGACCTGATAGAATCTTCCATTTTTTAACTTCTGCTGAATTTGGATTATATATTCTGTGTATCGGGAGACGTTTTCGGCACTTCACTGTATTTATTTTTATGTCACTAAATTTACCTATACTAAAAGAACAGGCAGACATTTCTCAACAAACCACCTTAATATCTATGAGTACAACACTTCCAGTTTACAAAATTTTCAGATGATGAATGACATTCAGGAATAAATTAAGATTTTACAGTACACTGGATGAATGAATTAGATTAGTACACTGGATGAATGAAGAAAATTAAGATTTCTATCAGTATTTTTATTTAATATAGAAAGATAATATTATCTCTTTTAATAGTGTCTGTTCATTTCTAAAATGTATAATTTAAATTTATAATTATATATAATTTAAATTCATATATTTGTATAATTTAATTTTTTAAGCAAAATTTTGTTGCTTCTGAAAAAAAGGGACTTGTATAAATTTATTATTGAAAGTGCAGAAATTTTTTATAAAATCTATGTTAGTCTAAATTTTGTTCCCAAATTTTATGCTTAATTAATCTTTTTATTTATTTATACTAGTGCTTGTTTCGCCATCATGAGAGGTCCTCATTCCAAAGGCTCCCAATCATCAACAGCAGATTCTCCACGTAGTGCAAGAGGTTCTCCCCGTAGTGTAAGAGGTTCTCCTCGTAATGCCAGAGGCTCTCCTCGTAGTGCAAGAGGTTCTCGCTCATCAGCAGTTGATTCTCCACGTAGTAGCAGAAATTCACGTGTGGGAGCCGGAGCTACATCTCCAGGTAATACTTTTATTTACACTAATCACATTTTAAGGCTTTCCCTGCATTCATATGTATTTCATCTAAAATTAATTTTTGTATATAAAATTTAAATATACAAATAAAATGATATAGTAAGAAATATGCTTGTGCCTTCGAGAAGGTAAGAAATTGTATTCATAATGTTATTCTGTAAATTTGTGGAGAATGTACTTATCGGTTTTTCTAACAGCCAGCAATTAATTGATAAGTTTGACTGTGTTTATCACCAAGCAATATAGCAAACCATAACTAAAATTATGCAATAAAAATTGGGAAACTGTTTTTTGCAATCAGAAAAAATAGTTATTACATTCTTCCAAGGACAATATATTTTACCCTCTATTTGAATTTGCAAATATGCTTGTGTAATAAACTTATATACCACTGTGGAAGCCATATGAAGATGTAGTGTGAAAGGCTGCCAGAAAGAAAGGCCCTTGCATTGACCGCTGTTTTTCTGTTTTAAAAGTCACATACCTGATAGTGGTAAGATTTATGTACTGTTGGTCATTATTCATAGACTCCAACTACTACGGATTCTCCGTAGTTTCTACGGAAATTCATGAAAAACTACAAGCTACGAAAAGTATGGAAAAAACTACGGATTTTACAGAAACAAGAGCAGGAGAACCAGTATGCAAAACGGAACCAACTAATTCATCCGATGATTGGCTGAATACTCGTGTTATCATATATCACGTGTTGAGTGCGTTCCTAGTTTTGAAGAATTAGCCAATCGTAGATCAGTAACTCCAACCGTTAACGACTTATCAATAGTTCCACCCAATTGTCTGTCTCCCAGGTTCCTCGCTGATGCGTGTTTAGGCTGCATTGTGTAGTTTACGGCGAGAGCTTAGCGTGTGTCTTGTGAACTGTGAATCAGATGAAAGATTTTTAATCATAATGCTGCCTCGAACGAAGAAGCCAAAATTATCAAAGCAGAAGTTTAAAGATTCATATTCTTCAGAATTTCCATGCATTAAAGCATCCGAAATTTCTGTGAATCATGCACACTGCAGTGTATGCAACAAAGACTTCTCAGTTGCTCATGGCGGAAAAGATGACTGTAAATGGCATGTGTTTTCTCAAAAGCATATAGAACTTGGCACCGTAAAATCTAAAGAAATAACAAATTTCTTAATAAAAGATGATGAAACAGATCCTATAAAAGCCGAATGCTATTTTGTTCGTTTTTTAATTGAACATAATCTACCGCTTTCTGTTTCGGATCATTCCAAAGAGCTTTTCAAAGCAATGTTTCCGGATTCTGCCATAGCAAAAAAATTTAGCTGCGGTCATACCAAAACTGCTGCTATTGTGAAAACGCTTGCAGAAAATACTGTTGCTGATATTATAAAATCAGTGTGCAGTACATCATTTTCTCTAAGTACTGATGGAAGTAATGATAACAAAACTGTACCCATTGGTTATAACATACTACAGTAAAGAAAAGGGAGTGATAATTACTTCATTGATTTCTATTTTAGAATGCACGAATAATACAGGAGAAGGTATTTTTAATTGTATAAATGAAAACTTTAAAAACAAAGGTTTAGAATGGAAAAATGCTTATCATTTTCTTCAGATAATGCTAGTAATATGATTGGAAAGTTTAAAGGTGTAGCATCATTTATCAAAATGCATCAACCAAGTATAATCACCCGAGGTTGTCCGTGCCACCTCTTGCATATAGCTGCAAAAAAGCTACTGAAAAATTAATTGGCTCAGAAATTGAAATGTTGATAATAGATATATATTTTTACTTGGAGAAAAGTTCGAAACGGAAGCATAGCTTCAAAGTTGCTCAACAAATTTTGGGACAGAATGCAAAATCTCATAAAATTTTGAAATATTGCAGTACGAGATGGTTGTCTCTTTTAGAATCTATAACAAGGATTTTGGAACAGTGGGATGCCGTGATAAATTTTTTTGGAGATAAACCAGATAACAGTGAGAATGAAGGAAAGAGATTGCAAAACATTAAAAAAATTTTACAGTCACCGACCACCAAATTGTACTTGTTATTTTTGAAAAATACTTTGCCTTTGTTTATAACAGTAAATATTAATTTGCAACAACAAGCTCCTTATATACATAAATTGAGAAGAGAACTTTTAATGAATTTATTTGTTAGATTCGTAAAACCATCAGTAATTTCTAAAGAAAATGAAGATGTTACTCTAACGTCTATTCCATTTCAGAAGTATAGTAAACAAAAAGAAAATGAAAATTTAGTGATTGGTGCGGAAACAAGACTATATTTAAAAAATGCCAAGTTGAATGAAACTGAAGTGAAATCATTTTTCAATTCTGTGCGAGCTTTTTTTGTAACTGCATGTTCATATATAATTGATGAATTTCCACTGAGTGATCCATTTCTAAAAAATGCTGAAGTTGCTGACATCAACTTGAGAACTGAAGTCTCGTTTTCATCTGTTCTTTACTTGATGAATACTTTTCCATCCATTATTGATGAAAAATGTCAAGTAGAAATTGAATTTTCCATGTATCAAGTAGATGATTTGAAAGAAATTGTAGATTTGCATATTGATATAGCATGGGGAGAAATTGCCAAATTAAAAAATATGAATGGGTGTATTAAATACAAAGTATTGCCTTCTGTAATGCTTGCTGTCTTAATAATACCTCATTCAAATGCAGCTTGCGAAAGAATTTTTTCTATTGTTAAAAAAAATCAGACGGAATTTCGACCAAATTTAGGTCTTAAAACTCTTGAAGCAGTTTTGATTGAAAAAATAAATATGCAGGCAAATGAAGAACTGTGTTATAAAAAAACATTCTCAAAATCAGAACTTAAGCTTGCTAAGCATGCTACATATAAATCTTTGCATTCATAAATTATGCGTATTTTGTTTAATACTTATATGTATCATTCTTGGTTATTTAAATTTTATTTCTCTGTAGAAATCATATCCAGAATAAAGATATGATTTATAGCTTCTGATTTTTTCTATGATTAGTAGTGATTTGAAGTACTTTTTATTAGTGAATGCTTGAGGAGTTAAAAGAAAATTTCTAATTAAATGTGCATATAATTTACAAGGTATACTTTTAATTATTCAGTTTTATATGTATATGGATTTTAAATGTAATAAAATTGATTACAATTAATTATTAATTTAAAATTAATGAATGGTTAATTAGAACATACGCTACGCGCACATTTTCAAAGTTGTAAAAATGTCGTTCGCGCGTTGACTACTGACAAGGTTTTCTGAAGGTTGGAGTCTATGATTATTGCTACCTGATGCATAAATTGTATCTTTTCTCTAAAAAAAATGATATTTCCTTATTGTGCCCTTTCCTTCTTTTTTTTTTAATGCTAAGTAGGTACCAAGATTATCACTATATTATTGTTTACTTCGCACACATTACATTATGCAGTTCTGTGATTGCTTTTAATATGACATCCGAAGCATTTTCTCCTCCCAAGAACTTTCATCACATGAATTTCACAAGGCAAGACTCATGGTAAATTGGGCCTTCTCAAGTTTTATAATGGCACTTATAAAAACACATTTTATGTATGCACTACTCTTGTTGAATCAGCAAAATAAAGTTTATTGGTTCAACTGCTTTTTTTCAATTCCTCTGTTTTATATGCTCACCAGCAATCTGAATAAACCGTTGATTCTTCTTGTACATGGTTGATGATTCTTGAAACCTGAGCAAAGAGAAAAAGAATGCAGCATTTTCTCAGCATAATCTGCCAAACATTCAGTATTATGGAAGAACCCTACCAACTGTGTTTTTTCCTTGTACGAACAGACTTTTGTTTATGTAGTTTTATTCAATGGCTATTTTTTCATTTTTGAATGCTAGGTAAAATGTATCTTTTTTGTAAGAAAATAAACAAAACATATAGGCATATAATTTAGTAATAACAGATATTAAGTGCAAAAGTAGTAATGGTAATACAACAAGAAGTAAATTTAAGTCTACTTCCTAAGACCCCCCCCCAAAAAAAAAAAAATACTAAAACGTAATCTAGCACAAACTTAAGCAAAAACAAAGTGAACAAAACTTTTTTTAAAAAAAATTTTAATTTTGTACAATTTTTTACTTTGTTTTTGCTCAAGTTTGTGCCAAATTACTTTTTAGTTTTACATAAAAAGAAATTTCTGACCTAGGAAGCAGATTTGAATTTATTTCTTGTTGTATTTTTGGGGTTAAAAATATATAATCTTTCTCACTTGTTGGCAAATTGAACTTTTTTTTTTTTTTTTTTAAAGAAAGAAAATACTTTTAGCACAGGGAATACTCAGCTTTTTTCTTAATAAAAGAATTATGACCAACTGTTGAAATGGTAGCATTTTATGAAAAAAGGAAATAAAAGAAATGCAATATGTATTTTACTCAAAGCTGTTCTCATAATGAGAAAACTTATACAGGACTGTGTGAGAACCGGTGGCCATTTGATGATGGTTTGCGTTGGAGAATATAAATAATTTTGGTGCTGTTTACAAAATGGGGATCATATTTTAAATATTAGAATTATTCTCTAATATAATAATAAGGAAGTGCCAAGGAATTTTTTTTTAAATAAAGTTTCTCTTTTTTATCTTTTCCCCATTAAAATTCCATTATATAAAAATGTTTTCTCTATTTAGTATGGTATCTAAACTTGGTGATGCTTTTTCCTTAGCAGTCTGATCACTGATAAAATCTGCAAATACCAATAAAACTGCTGATGTCTAAAAATCATTTTAAATATAAAAATCATTAAAAACAATCTGAAAAACTTGTCTTTTAAAAATCCACATTATGTAAGCAATGCACCGAATTTTCATTATCTACTAGGTTGATATTAAACCACAAAAGGATATGATGAAGTATTTTTAATGTACGGTTACATTCCTCCATTAATTGTCTGATGAGAAAGCAAAAATTAAGAGACTATTTGAGGTGTGCATGAATGCTTATATCTTCGAAACTACAAATATTGCCGTCAATCTGAATACGTCATTAGATTGATGAAAGAGTACATTAGCAAGCACAGAAATGTTTTGCACAGAAATTAGACAAAGGATATAACACAGAGTAATGCTTCAAAAATAGCGAAATTTTGGTAAAGTTTCATGCGTTGCTTAACCGTATGCGAGTGGCAAGGTCATTTGGTAGGCAGTCAGTGTGTTTAGGTGATGTTTGCTGTATTTTATTTCACCGAGATAGTGGTGAACGATTTGGCGAGTATAGCTGTTTGTGTACCAACATAATTTACTATTAAAGAGTATAAGAGGGGGAAACAGGATTCAGAAGCATGCAATATTTGTATAGTTGATGTAATTAATGGACAGTAAAGATTTATTCTAGTGTTCATATATATATTAATCCAACTGTTAATTCAAGAGATTTGATGTTCTTGTTTAGTGCATTGATGAAGTGTGTGTGTAAAATCTTTTGTTTTATTTGTTCTATAACATCCTCACACTTCTGTTAGTAATCCGATACATTAAACACTAGTGGCTGTTTAAACTAATATCAATTTTTCTAAGCATCCGAACAGTTTTTTTATTATTATTATTATTATTATTTATTTAATTCAAATTAGTTGTTTTGCACTATAAGGTATTTAGTCCCTTCTTTCTGCATGCCTTCTTGGTGTAACAATAGCACGTTTAATGCATATTCGAGAGGTCCAAGTTCGATTCCTGTCGAGAACATTGCACATTTTTCATATTTCTTGCTTCAAAAAAACCTAATGATTATACAGTGTCGCCCAATTTAAAAGATGGTTAACAATAATTCGTCACCACCAGGATTTGGCGATTGGGTCCCTTAATCCCGCTCCTTCAATCATGCCTTCGTAGTTTTGCTTAATTAAAGCAATTAAATTTTATAATTTCATTCAGAAAAATTCTATTGACTCTACAGCACTATTTAATAAAATTTGTATTATGTTTTAGTTCTGTGATATTTTCCCTGAATCACAAATTTCATTTTAAAAACTTACTGGATTACTGATTATTTACTGGCATTCTTGCTAAAATTTAAGGAAGATCAAGAAAAGCATTTTGTTAACTTGATTAATCCATTACAGCCTATGAAACAGTTATTTTATTCTATGAACAGTATTCATTGTTTGTATAAGAGCAAATCAGGAATAGGTAATTGAATTTGAATAGCACTTGCTTAAAAATGATTTGTGAATATATCAATTATTTATACATTTTCTAGATTATCAAATTAAAAATATTATTTTGTGAATACGATCCTTGTGTATTTTTCTGTAATTTCTTTTTTTTTATATAATAGGTGGAAGACGAAGTAGGTCTAATGGTGCCCCTGACAGTTCAGAATTAATGCCTCTTCCATCTTCTCCTCCTGAACTACCAATATGCCCCTTTTCACCAGCTGATAGGAGTCGGAATGGTGAGTCCAGAATGTTCCTGTTTGTGTATTGTTGACTAATCTACTGGAATTATTTGAAAACTTTTATTTGTTTTTTAGTTTGCAATAGATCTGGTAATCTTCTAAAAAAAAAAAAAAAACCCGGAAACCAGACTATTTCAGATTTGTGCAACTAAACTTTTCTAATTTTTCCCTTTTAAGCCCCTTTTTTAATATAATATTGTAAATTCTAATAATCCATGACAGGTATAAGCCACACCCCTAATTTTCATCTGCATTTCTATGAAAAAGGGCAAAGTACATCACAGTAGACTACAGAAGGTTGACTTCTGCAAGCTATATATAAACTGATGAAAACTTTAAAGAGAGCCCTCTGTAGACAATAAGGAAATGAGCTCAAAATGGACAGTTTTATACACAGAACATGTGTCTATGCAAATCCAAGCTTTATCTTCCCCTTTTAAATGTATGGGTCTGGCTATATCAATTCAGATAGAAGGGTTAACATAGAACGTATAGCATTGGAAATTGTATCCTGCTCATAAGTATAAAAAATGCAAGCAAAATTATTATCTTTAGCTTAATTTTGCAAACATTATGTAAATTTTCAGGCATTCTTTTTTCCTCCAAAAGGGGGCATGGCTCAAATAGGCCTAGAGTAGAAGTGAAGTCCTTTCTCAAATACAGTTTTTGTGATGCTATGTCATATAAAGCTCGATTACAAAGTTATTTCTAACAGATTTCACTTTCAAGGTCTGCAAAAGTACTTGAACTGATTAACCCTAACAAACTTTCTTCCTTGCTTGTTTACTTTCCATTGCTGTTTAATACATGCTTCTTAACATTTGTTTTATTTTTAGGCAGTTCCAAATACATAATTCCACTTTGATTATTAGTTATTATTATTGATATTTGCACATTTAACAGAACTCCTGCATTTGTTTGCTTAGTGACCAGCTTTTAAACAGCAAAAGCAGTGCCCTTATCTTTTTAAAAGTTTTTCCTTTTTGAAAATTGCATTCTTTTAGATTTAAAACAATTAAACAAATCATGTTTTCCACTGCAGTACATGCATTTCTGAGCAGAAGGATCAGCACTCAGCAAACTTGCTGCTGTTGAAAGTCATTCATGAACAGTGTTAACAAATCAAAATCACCCATAGCTAAATTTATGCGTTCTTTGGATTCTACTTATGATTTCAAAAAATTTTTAAAACTGTCCAGTGTACACTAACGGTCAACATTTGCACTTCTTTCATGGGCCTTAAAATATCTTTAGGTAAGCAAAACTCAACTAAAGAAGTGCAGCACTGTTGTTCCAAATGATCATATGATGTACATAAGTTATTGGAAAAATTACTGGAATTTGCATTTCTCAGGACTAATTTTTAACTATTCTCTCAGATAAACTTCCACTTGCAAATCATTTCGACAAAAACAATTGTCTAAACATTCTATGGCCTTGGAATAATTAGCTGCTATAGGAGGAAAGCTTTCTGTAACCTCCCTTGCATGAAAACCCTCAGTTGTCACTTGTAATAAATACTGAAATTTATCATTGTCAGAAATTGTTGCATCTTGGTCAGTTTTTCAAACTGAAAAAATAACTGTTCTTTAATATCACCATCAATTTTTTGTAATTCAAGCTTTGGCAATTTAAGTGTACATTTGCATGAATTACCATTAGCAGATTCATTCAAAATCAAATTTGAAGTACTTATATTCTGTAGAATACCTTTCACTCTGATTTTGAACGGCCTAGTCTCTCATCTTCAATAGCAGCAAACTCTGCTTCAATTTCTTTCCAAACTTCCTGATTTCAAAACAAAAACTTTTTTTTTTTTTTTTTTTTTTTTTTTTTTTTTTTTTTATTGAAAATTTTAAATCTTTGTGCACCACATAGTATTACACAAGGCTTACAGTGATAAGTAAAAAAACAAACAAATACAACAACACAACACAAAATAAAATAACTTACAAATTCACAGATGACACGTAAGAGACAAATTTACAGAAGAAAGAGAAAGCCATTTTATGTTGGACAAATACGTGAAGGGGGGTAAATGTAATATTCACAGATTTTAACCTAGAAATGAGTTCCTTTCATCCTTCCTTGAGCTTTGAACAATAGAATAACAAATGTTCGACATTTTGCACTCCCCCGAAACTGCATGAACACAAGTCTGTACTAGATAATCTAAATCTCTTCAGATATGAATTGAATTTACCATGTCCAGTTAGAAATTGAGTACTTCAAAATTGCAGAAAAAAGTGTTTATTATTCAGTCTGTGAGGAATGGAAGGAAAATATAGTTTAGTCAAGAGGCAGTAGTAGAATTCCTGTATAGTTCATTCCACTCGAGTATTGTATCATCCCTACTTTTGTTCTTGTAAAATGACTTAGGAAGTATCATTGGAGTAATTTACTTGAAGATGTGTAGCTTGTTTTGCCAACCAATGAGCCCGTTCATTTCCTAGATTGCCAGTGTGGCCACGTACATGAGAAAAGATAACATCAACGCCTTTATTATTAAGGTCTTTAAGAAGAGCATGGGAAGTCACAATTAATTTATTATATGAAAAGATATTCCTAAGAGAAAATAAGGATGAAAGAGAATCAGTGCGAATAAGAAATTTAGCACTTAGCGAACAGTTATTAGATATCCACTTAATTGACTCACTAATGCACAGTAATTCGGCTTGGAAGACGCTGCATTCATTGGGAATTCTAAAGAGTTTGTATTCCAGTTCAGAACCATTATGGAAAACAACATAAGCTAATCCAACTTGATTATTAATTTTACTGCCATCTGTATAACACACAACAGGGAAATTATCATCAACAGAATTGTCATAAATGATAGTTTGAATTGGCAAATGATTGGCAGGATGAGGAAGATCTTCAAACAACACCTTGGCATCGAACATAAATTTGCTGATGGTATCTTTAAACTTTTTGTCATTCAAAACATGAAGGTCAATTGGAGGAAATCCTGAAATTGCGAAACAGGCTTGTTCTGTAACCACGCATAACTCTTAGTAAAATTCTTCTTTGAATTCTGCGAAGTATATGGGAATTAATCTTCTTTTCTAAAGCTGTTCCCCACACTCTAGAAGCATAGCAAATAAAGGAGACAATACCCTGCTTATAAATCATATCAATAACATTAAATTTTAAACCAAAAGTATTGCAAGAAACACGATTAAGTCCTCTAAGTATATTTTCACACTTATTGGATAAATACATAATATGATTTTTCCAACAAAACTTATGATCAAGAATAACGCCTAAATATTTAATTTCATTCACCGTTTTCGAGTAAGGTATTATCCAAGTACAGTTGTTGGTTTGTATAGCTGACATGCTTTCTTTTAATTATCATAATTTTAGATTTATTAGGATTGAATTCCAATTTCTGTTCTCTGGACCAATTGGAAATAATATTAAGGGTGTTTTGAGCCGTATTAAAGAGAGTAATGGGACACTTCTCTTGAAAGCAAATTAGTAGATCATCAGCAAAAGCAATTGTTTTACAACTCGGACAATGTGAGAGTCTATTGAGTAAATCATTCATAATTAAATTCCACAATAAAGGTCCGGAACCGAGCCTTGAGGGCAACCTCTTTCCAAAATGCGAGAGGAAAAAACGTGGCCAAGGGAGAGCAATGCAGATCTGTCATGCAGAAAATCTTTAATAAGGTGGTAAATATTACACGGAATACCAGCTTTCCTTAAAAAAACAAGTATCCCAGGCCACCAGGCGTGGTCGAAAGCACCTTTGATATCAAGAAACACTAAAACTGTGTGTAAGTTTCTCTTCTTACCTTCGTCCACTATGTCTTTTAAGTACAAAAGAGCATCTTCACAACTCTTATGAGAGGTAAAACCAAACAGTGCTTTATTTAGCAGTTTTTTTATTATGCAAGAACCAGGTAATTCTATTAACAAACAGCTTTTCTAGGCATTTTCCTAAACTGGGAATAAGACTAATGCATCTCAAGTTATCTAAATGCGGGATACGAGGACCACTATTCTTAGGGATTAAAACGACATTCGCTGTTTTCCAGCAACGAGGAAATGAACTAAGCCTCAGACAAGTATTGAAGATTTTGGAGAATAAATTTGGAAACATTCTATGAACTTGCTTCAAAATTTTCGTTTGAAAATAGATCAAGACCAGGAGCTTTATGCATTAAGTTTTTTCTATAACACTATTAATTTCTGACATAGTAAATGGAGGATCTGGATTAGCAACATAATTTAATGAAGCTTCAGCCCTAATCATTCTATGAAACGAATTATCCATGCTAAAATGGTCCGTGGGAAAGCTTCTGTTAAGAACCTCATTAGCAGTTTCTTCAAGCGACTTTGTATAATTACCAGATGGGAGATAAATTCCACTGACTTCAATTCCTTTCATAAAATTTTTCTTTATACCATTCGTATATATTTTTTTCCAAGCATTCCTTTCATTTATACTCATTAGGAATTCTCTCCAAGACTTAAGCTTTGCATCCTGGAGCTTTAAAACTGTAACTATGCCTTAAGTGAAGTATTTTTGTTTATATAACTCTCTAAGAGTAGGGTTACGATTTCGTTGAAACCTACGTCTAGCAGCGTTACCTGTTTTATCATACAATCGATTTCAGTAGTCCACCAAGGTACCTTATGAACCCGTGACTTTTTTAGAGGCATGGAAGCCTTAGATGCGTTATAGAGAATCGAGACAAAATTTTCTAGTCGAGAGTTTAATGCATGCTATCCGTACAGACTCAATAAACTGCGAAAACTCATCAATCGACTGCTTACATGTATTGTAAAAAATATTCCAGTTAGCTTTCTTTACACTGAAGACAATTTTGCTGTTTTTTCTGTCATAGAGAGTGTTATTAGAAGCTACAGAAAGTCGCACGGTGATCAGAAATCTCAATCGCACAGTGATCAGAAAGGGATTCATAATCTAGTTGACACCAACACAAAATATCTGCAAGAAGATCAGATCCCACAACCGTAATGTCAATATAGCTTGAACCTTGAGTACTACAGAAAGTAGGACCACAGTCTTCATTTAGAACGAACAAATTATTCATACTTAAAAATTCACAAAGTTTAACCCCTCGAGAATCTGAAACTGGACTATGCCAAATTTCAGATTTGCTGTTGGCATCCATAGCCCAAATCAATCTATTACAATTTTTTGAAGCTAATGCTACATTAATTTTATGCAGATCCAAGTCGATATTTCTATTAGGTTCAAAATAATAGGAAAAAAAAGATAAAATCTTGAGTATTGAGAGTAACATGAATAAACACCATATTATAATCAAGATTATTAATATCAAGCAGAGTAGATATTAATATCAAGCAGCTTTTGATTTCGTACAATAATAGCAGCTTTAATGGTATCACTATTAGCATCAAAGTAAACCCGGTAAGAGGAAGGCAAGTTGGGAAGAAGAGAGCATTTAAGAATGAGGCTCTTGAACAAGAGCGATATCAATGTTAGAATTTTCCATATTTAAAACAAAGCTGCTGAGTAGCCATTTTCGAACGATGAAGATTAAGTTGAATAATTTTAAGAACAGAAATGGGAAAGTTAGCCATAATTAATTGAGAAATTATTCTATTCTTCATAAAAATGTGAGAAGGACAATTTTCCGAGAAAGGCTTATGCTTGACATCAACTTTCTTGCCAACATCCTTGATTTTGCTATTATAACGAAATGCAATTTACACAAGCTTGTGTTTTCTGAGTTTGGCAGTGCTCACTTTTATGTTCTTTTGCACATTTGAAGCAAGCACACAGAATTTCTGCAGTTAGCTCCTTTGTGATTATAGCCAAGGCATTTAAGCATCTATTTATTATGATAAACTCCTCTACTTTACAAGCCGACCACTCAAAATGCAAATACCCCAAAGGTAGGCATTTTCTGTATAGCTCGGGTTTCATTTCGACAAACGATATACTTTGAGTTTTGGAAATTTTTAAGAGTAAACAGAATTTCATGTTATTAATACATCATTACCATAAAAAATGTCAGGATTTTGATCAAAGAGAACAGTTAATACATCGTTATCATCAATTTCATTTGGCACATTTTTAATAAGTAGAGCTGGATTTTTCTGTCTTGGAAGAGAAGAAATTAGTTCAGGTTTGTTGTTGATTTCATCTTTTAGTTTATCACGATCAGTTGAGGAAGAGCATTGCACTAAAATTCTGTTATTCGAAATCGTCCTAATATTTTTTATACCTAATTTCTTTTCTGTTTGATTAATTTTTTCCTTCAAAAGTTTTTTAACATCAAGGGATGTAAAGTTTACAATTATCAGACAATTACAGTTTATAATTATCTTCGAACAATTATCAGAGGAACAAAAACTTGAGATTGTTTTGTGACTGCTGGTCACTTCATTCCAAGAAATCGTTAAGAAATACTCTGTCCATGGGAACTTTCAAGGTTGCCATTCTTTTTCTCAGAACTTCGTGGTGGTCGATAAAATAGCTTAAGACGTTACAGCAGCAAATAGTTAGGAATTCCTCTGGAATTTCAGATGTTTTTCCCGAAAGTTTATCTGCAATTTCAAACAAATTAGTAATCTTGCATTGTTTTGTTTGTATTCATCTTTTCTGAGATAAGTTGCTTCACAAAGCTTTAGTTATAGGGCCTATCACCTGATAGGTTTCATGTGATTTCATCCACACTTCATACAAAGTTTTACACTTTCTCATGTGCACTTTCTTATTTGATTTCATGGTAAGTTGCACTTTTGAGACATGAAAAGCACAAATTAAATTTCATCCATTTGCCCAGTAAAATGGGAGATACAGAACTGTACCCCCTTTTTTTATGCAAGGTGTACATCTCGAATAGACTTCCTGGCCACATAACCTGGGGTGTTGAAAGTGGTTACACAGTAGAATTTTGCACTCCAAGGAAAACACTTGATTTAAATCAACAACAAAAGGCTTCAATTAGTCTTTCTGTACACTTAATAACATGGATGAAAAACACATGTCGACCTGTGACATGTTGAGGTATTTAAAAGTTTATAATGATTTGTATTTAATACAGTGAAACTCATGTGTTCATCTCATTTGTGTCTGATGAAATTATGATCAGCCTCTGTGTAAGGCCTTGGTGCTACTTTGGTAGACGGTTGCACGGATTTTGGCGATTTGCCTTTTGGCGAGTAATACAACTTATGGTAAACCCATTGCTGGATAAGTTATTTATGGTAACCGATACTTTGTTGTCATTTTATTAAAAAAATAATGCGTTTTATTATGCATAACTTCCGTGTTTTAAATATTATTTATGGCTTCTAAATATTAAAAATCAATTTAATTTTACATTTTTATTTGAAATAAAAATTTTGTTGTTTATATATTTTATATAATTTTATGTTGTGGATGATGTAATCAATGAAGTCACCTTACTTAAAAAGTAATTGGTTTTATTAATATCTATAAATTTAATCTAATGTTTTAAACATTATTTATGGCTGTTAAATATTAAAATAAAATTTAATTTTGCATTTGTTTTAAAAAAATGATTTTATTATGAATGATTATTTAAAATAATTTTAATTCTATGCGTGATGTAATCAGCTCCCTGATTGGTTACTGAATTTTGTGCATTACCGCGCCATTTTAAAATTTTATTATTCATCTCTTCAAATTCCTCGGATTTCAAATGAAATGGATATCTCCGTTTCGAAGACGAATGTTGTTATTGGTAATTACCAAGAATTATTGGTATTGGAATAAAAAAATTGCCCTTTGAGACTCCTTATTTTGGCCAACCTGTCTTTCCTAATCAAGATTTATTTATAAATTGTTAATAGCCGTCAGAGGAAATTTATTTTAAATTTTTGGAAGGAAACCTCGCTAATTGCTTCTTCAATGAAGTGCGAGATAATGTTTGATCACAGATGAAGATAGCTTAAAAGAGATCCGATTCAATTATGATTTCCGAATTTTTTATGTTCTACTTATCAATAAACAACAGGTTAAAATTACTCAAAAAAATGTAAGTACATATTTTTCTTTTATTCTATATAATTGTATACTTCAATTTTGTATTAAAAAAATTAATACACTATTTTCAAAAAATTGCTGAGATAATTATTGTCACATATGTTTTAATGTTAATTATATTTTATATAACGTATTTTAAAGTATTTGAATTTAATAATATTCTAATTCTTTTAAATGTTGGTAGGATGGTTTTTAATTCGATATTCAATTTCAGTAATATTTTAATCTAATTAAACGTTGGCACAATATTTTTATTCTCTTTTTTGCTATATGAAAGTAATGATAGCCTTATTTTAGTACTTTATACTCACAGTAAATTTATTTATTTACACTTGCCTGCCATCTTTAAAAAAAAAGACATTTTCAACAAAAGATTAATCCATTACTTTTAACGATATTTATTTTATTTATTTATTTATTTATTTTTAGTTTCGAATACTTTACTATGCGTAAAAACAGCGTTTCTCAAGATGGCTGACGATTGTAAAAATCGTGCCAACGTAAATCGCCAAAAATCCGTGCTACCGTCTACCAAAGTAGCACCAAGGCCTTTTTAATACTAATCAAAAGTTCCTATATGAATAAAATTATAATATTATGTTGATATGATGAATGTCATAATGTGGGAAACAGCATGATGTTGGTATAAAAGTTTTTTTTTAAATTTTTTTATATAAAAAAAATAACTTTTTTTTTTTTTTTTTTTTTTTTTTTACAGTATTCAGTGAATTAGACTTAAGTTCACCTTTAAATTATGGTACACCTAGCTCTCATGGTACAGCTCGGTCTGTTGGGTGAGTATATTTTCTATTCAATTCTGCACATTTATATGTATGCATTAACACTCATTATTAGAATGTAGTTTAGCCTAGTTTCCTGATTAATATAAACTTAAATACCAGTTTAGGAATTAGGTCAGAATTTTACAACTACTTTTTTGACTGATATGTAGAAATCTTCAAAAGAATTATTATTATTTTAAGCGCAAATCCTAACATGATCAATATTGTATCGTACTGCTAATTGGTGTTTACTTATTGGTTAGTGGAAGAGGGTGCGTTTATTATTTTTCTTTAAACCAAGTATCTGAATGCAATTTGCTAAGAAGTTCATCTGTGTCAAGATATGAAGTTCTCTAAATGAAATCATTAAGGTGCCTGATGATGATAAAAATTTCTTTACATATGTTGGCACTGTAACTAAAGAGTGTAACAGAATTGTCAATGACTGGAAATGAAGAGTATTCATTTAAAGAAAAAGTTAGCTATTTATTATCATATTATTAATGAGAAAAAAAGAATATTACAAAAGACAGAACTACTCTCATATGCGCCTCATATACTCTCATATTTGGTGACAAATTTCTTGGCAAACATTTTTGGTGAGAAACTCCACACTGCCATATTACTACCTATATTTGTCTACATTTCGAACTTTAAGCCTAAAATGTGTGCAAAAACCACATTTTGAACACACAATATAAGCTAAAAATCCGAAACAAAAAATTTAGATAGCAAAAACGTAAAGTTTCTAACCAAAAATATTTCAGAAGAATCCATGTACACAGCAATCACAGAATACACTCAAAAAAAAAAAAAAAAAATCACAGAATTGCACAATCTATGCAGTGAAGGAATCTACGAACTACGCATACCTAGCTCAAATAAATTAACATAACAACAATAATTTTCAAAGAATACCATGTACACCGTTGTTTTTAAACTTAATCTATGAATTGCACGATCTAGGCAGCGAAGGAATCTACAAACTATGCACATCTTGCTTTAATAAATTAACATAACTACAACAAATTTCAAGACTACTGTGTACACAGCATTCTGTTTCAATTTTAAAAAACATCTATGAATTGAACAATCTAGGCATTGTGCACTAATCAACAAAATAAACTAAAATAAATTTCAAACAATTCAAAAAAACAATAATGAAGACAGAAATTCATACTAAAAAACAATGAACATAACATTGTACAAAGTAAGAACAAGAATAAAATAAAATGCACGTACCATAAATGAATGCTTCTTCGAACAGCAGAAATACCAATTTCATGCCGCCACGTAATCACTATCACAAACAGAAAGGGATTCATATTTATATGACAACCAGACTCACTATCCAAAAAATTGTTACTATCTTTTGCTAATAAATTAACTTCCTTTCCTAAATCCTTGTAGTATTTCCAACCATCCGAAAAAATAGTTGTACCTGGCTCAGTCCACTCTTTAATACACTATATCAGAGTTTCCTTACTTCTATCATGCACAGCCACCATAAATAATATCTTTCCACACCTCCAAATACCCACTGCCCCTCAACAGGATGGCCACGATATTTTCTTTTTCCAAACTTTGACTCATCCATTTCCACCACTTTATCTTTCCCTCCTATCTTCTGTGACACAGAGTATACAATGTCCAGCATACATAAATCACTTAAATACCACACGAATCAACTAAAAACTAAAACCAACTGAAATCCAACCTTCCACATAAAAAGGGTTGCCATAGAAACCAAACATCGCCCTCAAAACCATCACAGAACATGTAATTGCACCAAAAACCAACACATATTGCCGCATTTGGCGGCCTCAAGACGCATATAAGAGTAGTACCCTAAAGAGTATTTGTTCTTCAGTTCTTTATTTTACTGTATCATCTGGTAACTGATATAAACTATATTCGTGTTTCATTGCCATATAATGTGTGGCTTTTCAACAAGGAATGAGCTTCAGCCATACCCATATAATATGTCAATATTATTTGGACAACATATTATATGGGTTCAAATAATATGTCAACCAGACCAGTCAGATATTATATGACCCAAATAATATGTCAGCCAAACCCATATAATGTGCTCGTAAAGTTGCATCTAGAGATATCACTGAATAAATAGTGATGTAGTGTACTAATAAATTGCAATTTGTTACTGGATATGGATATAAATAATAATTTATTAACTTGGAAAGTGAGTATTTATATGTTTCTACTTGCATTTATATTAAATTAGCTAAATTTCATTGATATTTCAAAAAATATTTTTTCTCTCAAATGCTATCAAAATAGTTATGAACATTATAATTGTTATGAGTAGTGACATTAGGTGACACCTACTGTATGTTACATTTCATAAATATTTTCAACTTTACTGTGAAAAATAACATGTAACTTGTTTTTAAATTAACTTGAGTATTAATATTAGAACATATTACATATGATATAGAATAGTTTTAATGCATAATGCTTTTAAATAATATATTTCATTACCTGACAATCTCGCTTGAAATTAAATGCATTGTTTATATACTTATATTGAACAATTTCATGTAAAAAATAGTAATAACAAAATATGTATTATGAAAATATATAAACAAAATTTGTTTCTAGAACTCATTTGTTATGTATATTTATTTTGCTGAATATTAAAATTTTTTTTTTTATTTATGTGAGTTATCAGTTCCACTAATTGGCTGGTTTGTATAAAATAATACTACAGATAATACAAGGGGAAAAGTTCTGATCTATCAGGTTACATTATCTGCAGTTACAAAACAACAATATCTGTGCACTAATCACAAATTAAGCTGTAAATTCTGTGTATAAAGTTGAGGCCTGCTATTATTTACTGTTTGTTAGAATTATGTTAACATGATTTTTGAGTAAGATGTCATTTTTAAAAAGGAGGAAGGCAGGTAAATGTGCACTAAAATTGCACATATTACTTAAGGAGTTCTGAGTCAGTGCAAAAAATTATGTTTCCAATACCAGTCGCCCATTTCAGCAAAACTTCAATAAAAAGGATATGCAGAGTTTAGGTATTATAATCAGATTATCCTCTGATCTATTAAGCCTCTGATCAGTCCCATCAGTATACATTGTTGCATCTATTGATAGAGAGTTCACACCTACTGGTCATTTTAACATTAATGAGATGTTATGGGTCTTAATAAATCAGTGGTCACTCCTTTTACTATGAATGGCCATGGTATCCACACAAACAAAACTTATAAGTCTTTATGTTTGTTACCAACTGTGGAATAATTCAGTGGTTCTGTAATAGTCACAGATGAATTCATGTAGCATGGTTCAGATCCACTTATAGTAAGCAATAACAGTGAATACTATACATTATCTTTCAGCTCATGTAATATTCTTTGTCTCATGTTGATACACCTTTGTATTCTTTGTCTCATGTTGATATACCTTTGTTCGATCCAACCTTGTATGTTTTAACCAAATAATGCATCTGTTCATGAGGCAAATAATGACTTGTGGAACATGATGGTGAAATCTGTACTTGTCATTTGTTACTAAACTTAAACTCTACAGAAAAAAATGATGTAAAATTTCTTCCATTGAATCCCCATAGGTTATGAATGAAAAAAATCTATATTGCTTGTCCTTGTTAGTGATTATTTGCATCCTTTCAGCACATTTTCTGTTGTATTGTGCCATCTATCAGCATTTCTGGATTTTTTTTTTCTTTTTGATGTGTAATCCGTTTCCCCCATGTCTTGAACAGTATATTCAACAGTTTTGGAGCCTTTGCACTCAGTAGTTCGATGCTTAGAGAGCTCAGAGAAGAGGCATTTTAATTCTGACCACCTTGTATTATAACATGTGACGTAGAATACATTATAAATGAGTAATTTGCCATCAAGAAATACAATATAGATATTTTGAATAATTCAGAAGCTTCGCACATTCAGAACTCCTTGTTGCAGAGATAACTTTTTGTTCTCTGAATTTTTTTCGGTTAGAGAGGGAAAAGCATTTTCATATACCATCAACGTTATATTTCATTATTAAATGTTTTTTATTTCCTGTATTTTATTGATTATTCATGTTTATATCTTATTATTCATAACATAAAATTGCATGAGTATTTAATATTATAATTTCGGCAGTCGTGGAACACCTATCCGACAACGCCATGATATTAGAAATGAAAGAAGAATGAGGCAGGTCAACCTTGGAAGTGATGAGGTATTTTTCCTATTTGCATTCATAAAATTTAGGTTAAACATTTTTTTATGTGGCCATTTAATGTTCATAAATTTCACTAAAAAAGTTTTTTTAAATAAGTTTTAAATTGTAATTTTTTTTCTTTTTTCTCCTTTTTCTTTTCTTTCTTTCTTTCTCTTTTGGTATTTATCGATTATCCTGGTTGATATTTTCCTTCTGGCAATTTTTTACTGTAAAAGAATTTTCAGAAAACTCAAATTTACTTCCTGTAGAATTTTATATTATACAAAAGATAAATACTCTTAAAACTTACATTTTTGCTACTATTATATATGGTTTTACAAAATGGAAAAATCATGGTAGAATGTTATTTATCGCCTGTATGATTTATTGCCATTGACATTTATCACAAAACCAGGTTTTGAAAATAGTTGGAAAAATAACTGTTGAAATTTGAATGTAGCAAATTACTAGCAAAATAGCCAAAAGCTCAGTAATATTTATGGATTATTGCAAAAAATATTCAACTTAAAATTTAAAACGGGTTACCTGTTATATATTTGCAATTTTCAACTGCATAAATCTGCAATATGGAATGTAAGCAATAAATTACTATTATAATAGCAGTGCATTGATAATTATAATCTTGAAATTAACGAAAAGGGACACTTTTATCGTGGTAACGCACTTTTATATCATTAATGAGAAGCATTTTAAAAATATGTTTTTGATTCCATTTGAAGGAATATTTTGTTAATATTTCAAATTCTGCTTTCAAAGAGTAATATTAGAAAACTTGTGGAAAATGTTGATTATAGAAATTTTAGCAGATATTATGGAGAAAATCTGTATCCTGTTTAAATAAATTTTATTTCGATTACAACTCTTAAGATTAAGTATATTTCTTAAAATCTGTTTCTGTATACTTTTTCTATTCTGCATTGAGACTGTTCAATTGTTCATGTCTTTTTTTATATATGCTGTTTTAGAAATTGTTTGTAAGTTATAGAATGAGGAAAGAAGTTTGCCTGAAACACTGTGTGTTTTGCATTTGCAAGCTATGGTAAATTTCAATAAATGGTATTAATAGGGAAAACTGAATTACTCATATTTTACAAAATAATCAGTGCTTTATTTTTTAGAAATAAATATAATTACCTCATCCACAGTATAATCAAGCATTATCCTCATCGTGAACATCTTTCTCTTTTTACCAAGCACAAAATTTCGCATTGAATGGCTAATAAAAGAATAGCACATAAATTCAATCTGAAGATGAATGTTTTTCATTGCAATAAAAACTGCAAACTTTTAGATTTAAAGATTGATTTTTATTTTGAAAAGTGAAATTCCTTTTTTAGCCTGAGCCAGCTGCTGTCACAGAGCCAACTGCTATGTCTAGTGAATCACATACGGGACCTCAGTTGGTTATATGGGGCACAGATGTTGTCGTCAGCCAGTGCAAGGACAAGTTCAGACAGTTTATTTCTGAATATGTTGACATGAACATAGAAGTAGATGAGATGATGGAGAATATTGATTTAGATCGTCCTTATTACATGCAAAAGTTAGAAGAGGTAAACTTTACTTTTCTACTTTTTAAAAATATTCATTCAAACAAGTTTCAAGTTTGCAGATTAAAATGCTTTTTGCAAGCTATCTTAGTTGATAAAATTACTTAAAAGTTTCTAAATGTGTATAGAAGTTTAGAAATTATCAAAAAATAGGTAATATGTAAGTAGAGATTAATTTTAATATTTTTACGTCAAATATATAATTTTTTCATAGAAAACTTATAAGACTTCATTGATATGAAATCATTTAATTACATTTAAAAAGGATAGGAAAAAATTATATGAAAGCATTGAAACTTTTCACGCAATTAAAAGTGGGAGAAATGTAAAGGAAACCATTTGAAAAGGTAATCTTTTTGTGTATGTATAATTTTCTGTGAATTTAGTCAAGGGAAACTTATCTTCATTTCAAAGTAGGTAAGTTTAAGAAAAATAATTTTAAAATATTTTAACCAGAAATATATTTGAACAAAAGTTTTAATAAATAGCTTCTTCACCCTAGTAATGTAAAATGACGATGAATTTAGGCATTTTAAATTGTAAATTTATTAAATCAGAAGTTGAGCATAATTTATAAGATAAAAATACCCCTGGTTTGCTTATGACTCAATTACTGTAGATTATCTTGCCAGTGATTGCTGAAAGGAAAGAGTGTTAATTTAGATTTGATATATTTAAACTTTAGATACGGCAAACTCTTCTGTTATAAGGACTGGATTCAGGAATGTATGCACATATATACTCATATGCTTACGTATATACGTTTCGGAATCTGGTCCCGACAACTCTTTCAAACACTCTGTTATCGGTAAATTGCATTTTAATCAGTTGCCCATTTTCACCATCATACCCATTTCTTCTAAATTTAAATGTGAAAAGTTTAATTGGAAAGTATTCTCATTTTAATAGTAGGCAAATTACTAAAGATATCAGGTAATTATGATTAAAAATATCTGCATGACTAAAAAACCTGAATCGTTTGCTTGCTTACTTAAATAATGATTTTAGTGCATTTCATTTATTTACTGACACACATTGATTAACATTTATGTATACATGTCATTTATAAAAATATCACTGTTAAGTGCATATTTATGTATTTGCATCAAATTTGTATATCATAATCTTTCAGATTATGTATTATTATAAAACCAATAGATATAAAAAATATTTTTAGCTCATATTACTTTAGTTTGAATGTTGGTTTTTAGTCCAAAGGGGCAATTTGCCCTGAAAAACTATTAATTTTATTTTGGCATTTAATGTTGGAAACTTTAAATGTTGGTTTACTTTTCAAATTGTTGCCACCAAATATCACAGCCCTGTATTATATTTTTAAAAATTAGATAATGAAAAATCTGCATGAGTGTACGAAGGTTTCTTGCACTGTGAAAAAACAACGGTACCTATAAACATCCAATTTTGAATTAACGGAATAATTTTTTCGAGTGGATATATACAACTCCATTTGAATACGGGCATCTGAAAGCCCACATTTGGAATTTATTTTATTATCTATTTCATATTTTGTAAAACTTTAATAAATTTTTGATTAACAAACTCAAAGATTTCAAAGCGAACAATGAGAACACTGTATCGGGGGGGGGTTACCTCCAGCGCACGAGACTGTGTATCGGAAATTCTAAAGCTTTGCTCATTTTAAAATTATTTTGCAATAAGGCTGTTGAATTGAATTTTATGGTTTAAGTGCCAAGAACATGATATTTAATAAATAAAAGTAACACACAAAACGTTAAAGAAACACCCCTTTGGGTGTTAAATAAAATCTTTCAGTTTTTATTATTATTATGTATTTTATCAAAAATGTTTACCTTTAATTTAAGATAAAATTTGTTTCAGATAAACACCTTAGAAGAACCATTTCTGAATGTGAACTGTGCCCACCTCAACAGTTTTGATGCAGAATTATATCGTCAGCTCATACAATATCCTCAAGAAGTGATTCCCACTTTAGATATGGCTGTTAATGAGTTATATTTCGAACTGTATCCGGAAAGCCAGTTACCTCATCAAATCCAAGTTCGTCCATTTAATGCCGAAAAGACAAAGAATTTAAGAAATCTGGGACCAGAAGGTGAGTACAGAATTTAAAATCAGGAATATTTTTTATGTTTAATTTATACATGATAAATTTAACAGTAATTCTAACAAAATATCTAATTTCTTGCTGACTTAAGTTGACTTTGCTTCAGCTTTACTAGTTTTGTGCATATCACCTTTGGCTGTAGAAAATTTATGTGTTTGTAGATTAGATTTTATTTTTCAACAGATATTTCTAACAAGGAAGTGCTCAACATTAGCAACTCCAATTTTATTTTAATTCCATGTAATTTGGTGACAGCATGCTTATAAAAACCAAGTTTGTGTCTCGGTTCCTAAGTAACATTAAGTTGCATTAGTTTCTTTTGATTGTCATGTTGCTGGTACTTGAGTGGAAATTTACAATATGTTAACGAACTCTGTGCGGAGCTAGAACACTAACTGGATCAGGCAGACAAAGTGCAACTAACTTTCAACACTTAACAAGCATGCTAATGTCAAGGGCTCCACTTTGTTCTTTATCAGCAACTTTCTCTCTGTCTGTAAGGAAGCAGCAGTAATGGTGACAACCAAGATTCTATTAATGAATCATGCTAATTATGATTTCACTTATCATTTTAACCTAAGCCACTTGACGTAAAATCTGCGTTAAACTCTGGACTGTGCGAGTAATGATGAAACAAGGCATGAAAAAAGAATCAACATAAAGCTACTGTTAGTAAAACTTAAAAAGTGAAGTTCAGTCATAAATTGCCTTCTTTAATTTATTCAGTTCCTGCTTTCTGATATGTCCTTAATTTTTTTCATTGGTGGTCCTTAAAGGTACTTAATTTTCATGGGCAGAAATGTGCATGAATCCTGTCTGTGTTAAAAAGATTTATATGTAATGAAACTTACATTAACAGACAACTTCTAAATATCTGGAAATAAAAGACCCAACATACTTCTATTAACTGTACATTTCTTCAGTAAAATACAAAGCCACGATCATTCGCTGACTTAAGGTTTGACTCTATATAAATCTTTTTTCCAAACAGACAATTAAAGGAGTTTTGTATTGTTATTGTAATTTGAAAACATAATTTGGACATCATCATTATATCTTAATTTTTGTGCGTAGATGTGACAGCTCATGTGATAATTATGTCATTAGTTCTTAATGAGTAAATATTTTCTTTAATAATTAATTAAATATGGTGTTTTGTATTGATTTTAGATATTGATCAGCTAGTCACTATAAGTGGTATGGTAATCAGGACGTCAAATCTTATTCCTGAGATGCGAGAAGCATTTTTTACATGTAGTCTGTGCCATGAAACAACTGCTGTTGAATTAGATCGTGGACGTATAGCTGAGCCAACAGTATGTACAAATTGCAATACAGGATATTCCTTCAGTTTGAGTCATAATCGTTCACAGTTCACAGATAAGCAAATGATTAAATTGCAAGAATCACCAGGTATATTTGCTGTTGTTATGTTTTATTTGCATTGCATTTAGACTTATTTTTAATAACTCCATTCCTATAGAAAACATATGGCTAATATTTATTTTCCAATTTACTCTTGTTCTATCATGCATTCATGCTATTTTATGTTGATTGTTAATGCTAAATCTTCAGTTGGGAAAGGAAGAGTTTGTGTATTTGTGTGGATGATGAGGTAATGCATATTACAGCAATAGAAAGACCCAAAGCATAAAAAATTTGTGTGCAGACTTCTCTAGTGAGTTTATATGAACTAAAATGCAGTCTTTTGGGGCAGGAGGACAAAAATCAATTAAGATTTTCTTTAGTGTAATGTAGAAGCAATCTCTATGAATTTTATACACATACGCTCACTTAACAACCAAAATAATCATTATTTTATCATGAGTTAATCTGTGAAATAATCTCTCAAGTGTAGTTTATTCCAAAACTCTAATTTAAATGTATTTGATTTTTGATGATTTTCCTAAAATCAGTAGTTTTTTTTTTTTTTTTTTTTAATCTTTCGTTTGTGTGTGTGCAGTTATCAATTATCTTCAGTTGTGATGATCAATTATCTTCTATTGATTTTAATGTCTTAAAATTTTCATAGATTATAAAAGCAAACCTGTGCCATTCTTGCAGAAATTTAAAATAGTGAAAAGTCAGGTAAAATAACATGACAGTAGAAATAAACACTTTCAGCTTTGTATCGAGACATTTGCAATTTTGTCTCTTTAAAAACCTCATAGCATGTTTCAAAACAAAGCCTGCTTATTTGCTATATTCTGCAGAGTAGCTAGAGCTGCCCATTTTTATGGGCGTATTCATTATTTCCTCTACTTATGTGAGTTTTTCCAGTAATTTTGTGTAATCTGAAAAATAGCTTTATTTTCCCATGTAAAGAAAGGTTATTTTGCCTGTATTGTATTTATGTAAAAGCTAAATTTTATTCAATGGAATAAAATAAAAATGTAATAAATTAAAGCCATAATTAATTTTCATATTGTTTGTGCACAAAAATATGTAAAATGTCCCTACTTTTCCAAAAGTAGGCTGTCTGTAAGTGCAGCTATAGTTGTTTTGAGCTGTAAAGAAGAGTGTACATGAAAGCTGTAAAGAAGAGTGTACAAATTTTAAAATACCAATATTGTTTAAAAGAATTGATATAATGCAGATTAAAGGATTGCCACAGTATGTCTGGTTTCTCAAAGGTAAAGTGAAAAAAGCAATCATTCACTATCCAAAAAATCTTAATTGTCTATGGTGAACAATAAAATACACGTGTGAAGTTTGCTCTTGTTTTTGGTATACTTTTCGAATTTCTTCTATGAATATATAAATTAGGAATAACTCATATAGTCAACCTCAACATACCTAGTTTTTTTTTTTTTTAAAGGTATGTTTTATTAGTTAAAAATGTCTCTTTAAAAAAAAATTCTGTAGCACCCCACTGAAATCAAGTTTTAACTAGAATTCAAAAATATCATTAATTTCTTAGTGTTTTAATTCTGCTGTTCATGTGAAAATATACTGTTCACTCAATGTATAGAGAGAGTATGATGAGTGCATGCATATGTATATGTGTGTTAAATTTCTTTCAGTAATATTAAATTTGCTCTCTATCTGTTTTTGTATACTGTAAAAATTAAAACAATGTTTGTCATAACTTTATTTGATTAAAATTTCCTAATTGATCATTTATTTTTTAATGTTCATAATTTTTATTAATGCAACTTGAAATTAATGTTATTTAATAAATTATCTGACAAAATACATTTTTGTTTGAAATAGAAGAATACACATTAATTTTGTATTGCTGTTTGTAAAAAATAAGTAAAACATTATTAAGAGAAAGTCATGATTATTTTATCCTTTTCTATCTTTAAAAACATACTGTTCTTGTAAACTGTTCTTATAGGTATTGACATCTTAATTCTAAATAAGTTGAGATAAAATATTGAATAAATAAAATTTCCTTGCATGAATATAATATTTAATTTCATAATTTTTAAAGATTAAAAAGAGATTGTGATATCGAGGTTGTAAAATTTTACTTCATGAAAATGTATTTGTGTACATGAAAGGTTTACGCAAAAAGAAAATCTGGATTTGCAATGGATCCCCTCTTTGGAGGGGATGATGAATTTCGAAATAACAATTGTTTACCATCACACAAATGTTTTATTCTAATTTGTGTTAGTTCTTTTTTGATTGCATTTACACAGCCTGTTCAAATAACTAATTAAAAAAAAAAAAAAAACTCAGCGAATGATTTTAGCATAGAATGCTGTATACCTTTCAATGGAAATTGCACTATATAACAAGAAATTACAGTGAATTTTTACAGAATTTATTAAAATATTGTTGTTTATCTAAGAAAAATTTAGTCATTTCTGGAATATTTGGGTGAAAGTAGCTCATGCCATGATGAAATGTTTTGAGATCAGTTTATGCAAAGCACTGGTAGGCAAATTTTCTATTTGCTGATAGACCTTTGATGCAAAATATTTTTGCTTCTGCTGCAAGTGCTGTTTTGTCATGTGAATGCACAAATATTTAGTATATGATCAAGAACCATAGTCAATATTTTAAGGTACCTTCCAATCATTCATTCATTTAGTGTTGTATTTTTGTACATCTATAAAAGTTTTCAAATTTCAGAAAAATTCAAGGTTTTTGAAATTTGAAAAATTTTTTGGCTTAGGGTTTAAATAATTTACTTGAGATGTACTTGGCCAAACGTAGACATACTTTTTCAGTATGGAAAAAACTTTCATGAAAATTTTTTTAGAGGAATCAATAAAAAGTTAAATATAGTTAAAAAATCCATAATTTACAATAAGATTAGTAATTAATCCTTAATACAGTATTTATGTTTTATTTTGCTTAATTAATTTTCAGTTTAAGTCAAATTGTTCCTACCTAATGCATGATTCAACGAATCAGGTTTGAAAAAAGTGCTATGTTACACATAATTTTATGCTGTTAAATTTTTCATTCAAAATTACATGAAAAGCTCCTAAAATCTTCAAAATTGTTAAGTAAAATGCTTTTCAAGGGCTTATTATATATTTGTTTATATAGATGATATGCCACCTGGTCAAACTCCTCATACTGTTATATTGTACGCTCATAATGATCTGGTAGATTCTGTACAACCCGGTGATAGGTATGTCTGTTTTAATTTTTTCCCCCACTGTGTCTCTTTTTTTTTTAAAAAAGGTGTGCACGTATTATTGCTGTCTTTCTGAAATTATGTGATGGATTTATAATATTAGTTTAAAAATCATTCATGTAGTATCATAGTGCATTATTTTATTTACATGAAATATTGTATTACTTGATACTTAGGACTTTTCATCTGGGCAAACAAATATATTATTGATTAATTCATTTTTTCATCATGTTTTCGTACATGATATGCATGACTTCCTCGACTAATCCAAGGTGGAGTATGTCTCAGATTCATTGTGTAATAGAATAAATATCTTTGTGTTGCAAATATCCAATGCTTGATATATATAAATTTAAAACCCCCTATTCCTTTTATCCAGATTTGAATTGGCCACCCAGATGGTATAGTAGTTAAGGGAGGTAAACCGCTGAGTTGGCTTCCGACCCAGGTATAGATATATCTATGCAGAATTGGTTACCAACTCGGCGGGAGTCAACTACTGGCTACCAGGCCGCAGCCCCGGCTGAGCAGATGACATTTATAAAATGCAAAAAAGATATATACATATGCATATAAGGCACTTGAAGAAGAGTGCAACAATGTACAAAGAAATATATACATATGCATACAAGGCACTTAAAGAAGAGTACAAGAATGTACAAAGAAATACAATCAAAAGTCGTTAATTCAGACACCTATAATCCGGACCTCAAAACTACAAACTTTCTGCGCATGCGTCGCATTATCCTTATCTTCAGGGCAGATGTTTTTATTTTATTTGGCTTATTATTCCTTACTAAATGTAGTATTTCATCTCGATGTACTCCGCCTTTGATATGATTTAAATCAAATTCCTCGTCATTATAATTCGCCTCCGATAGTGAAGAAAGTGACACAGAGGTTATTGAAAACGAAAAAATTTCGAATGACGAATTAGTCAGTATTCTCGACATAGCAATTATAGGACTTGAACAGCGGATCTTTGTAACTGAAGAAGAAATTATGTCTGTTTATAGAATTAAAGAGAAAGTATTATACCATAAAACGAAGCAACTTAAAAAACTTACATTGAAAGAAATGTTTAATAAAATAAACAAATAAATATTAAGCTTTTTTTTTTTTTTTTTTTTTAATTTTGTTACCCTTTAGATCATAATTGTACTTTATTTCATAAATTACGGTTTCAGGTTTCATATTTTTAATTTTATAATTTCTGCATGCCATCTTACCAGATTTAAACTGATAATCTATAATCTGGAAAAATCGATAATCCGCAATCGCCAAAGTCCCGACGAGTCCGGATTAACGACTGTATATACATGTGCATACAAGGCACTTGAAGAAGAGTACAATCAAAATATATGTATATACATATAAATACAAATTCATATACATCTCATATACAGATATATAGTACACACTTACATACATAGTAGTTAGGGAAGCCTACTGCAATACCGAAGGGTCCGGATGCGAATCCCAGAGAAGGCATGGATGTTTGTAAATGTGTAGTGTCTTTGCGGTATGGGGGCACTCTAAATACATGGTCAACCGGAAGCCCTCTCAAGAGGTTCTAGGGAAAGATGGTGGGAGACCCTTGGAGCCGTTTTCCTGCTTCCCCAGTATTTAATAATTAAGCAAATTATACTTACTATTATCAAGTTCAATTCAGCAATGAATTTATATGTTAAAATTTTATATATTTAATTCATCATTCGTGTTAAGTAGGGTAAGTCAAAACTAAGCATTTAATAACTAGATTCCCTTTTTTAAAATTGTTATTTTGTTTAAAATTAAAAACGCTTTTTTGCAAAAATGCTGGTGACGCTACTGTGAGGAACACATTAAAATTAATTTAAATTCTTACATGGCATACCATGTTGAAATTATTCCCTTCGGAAGTATGATAATAAATAAAAGTAAGATTTTTCTTTCATAAAAATTATTATTATTGCTGCTGTTTGTCAGGCGATGAAATTTCATTAAAAATAGAATTGATCATAATTTCTTACAATATACTATCCTGATAAGAAGTTTTTTGTCTTTCTATGTAAAAATTAAGTACTTATAACTATTTAATGACTTATTTACCGTATTTTACGGCATATAAGATGCATCCTTATTTAGACGGCCACACACAAGGGAAAAAAGTTTCAATAGCGTGGTTTCTTTTAGTTCTCACGTTTCGTAAAATCCAAATAAACATTTACTGAATGCAATTACCTTCACGTATAAGACGCAGGTAACTTTTTTGAGACCGAATTTAGAAAAAAAAGTGCATCTTATATGCCGTCAAATACGGTAATATTATTTATTCATATTTCACATATCTTGAATATGTCATATATCATATTTAGCTATTATTAAAACATCTTTAGATAAGTTAAAAAATCAAAAAGAATTTATTGAGTAAACAGGAAGTATTTAGATGATTGATCAGTTATTATTTCTGAACTCTGAATATGTATATATATCTTGTATTATCATTAGAAATTAATTGTTTGCATTTTCCTTTGGTTTTTCTTCAGAATAACAGTAACTGGTATTTATCGAGCTATGGCTGCCCGAATAAATCCAAGACAGAGAAATTTGAAAGCAGTATACAGAACACATGTTGATGTGGTTCATTTTCGTAAAGTTGATACCAAAAGACTGTATGAAGATATTGAAGAAGGGTATGTATATCATTTTAAATTGAAATTTAACATGAAGCTTAGTCTTTTGGAGTTATGAATATGCAAAATATTAAATTATTTATTATATGAACGTGTACTTTTCAAATTTCAGGGTAGATATTCGCTATACACCTGAAAGAATAGAAAAGCTGAAGGAGCTGTCAAAGTTACCAGACATATATGAACGGCTTGCAAGAGCTTTAGGTATTTTATTATTATTATTATTATTTAAAAGACCTTTACAACATTTTTCTTTAAAAATATTTGAAGCACATTCACTTGTGTTTAATACAGATATTGCAGCATTATACCTTCTGTTTTTTATTATTATTATTATTGTAGAAGTAAAATATTTTGTAAGGGAATTTTATTTGCTTTAAACACCCAGTACAGTTAATGCAGTATGGAATTTCTTGTGGAGGGTAAGAAATCAGTGATATTTAATGATATATTGAGAAAATATTTTAAATTGTTCTGTAAAATTAAGAGCCGTAACAAAAGTGTTCAGAGCCCAGGGATGACTGAAGATTTTGCACTGCTTTCTGTGTGCCAAGAATGGAAAACATTTCATTCTAAAATTTCCTAACATCAATTTGACGCCCCCTTTGCCCCACCCTAGCTATACTGCTGAGTTAAATTTGGAGCTTGTGGAACCATATGTGTTGAATTTTGGGTCCAGAATTTATGAAAAATAAAAGCATTATGGTGGTGCAAAATCCATAAGTTCTTGCTACAGTTAAGAATGTTTTCTATTAATTTCTTCATGCAGACACCACAAAACACCAAAATAATATCCTTTTTGACAGTTAAGCCAATAAGTAGAAATTCATGAGGCACATTCATGATTTTTGATTGACTTTGATGTGGTGTATTTAGTCTTGCTTCATCACCAGTAATAATATGTTTTAAAAAGTATCTAGGCTACTTGGATGCTACATGCTGATATTTTTTTGGAAACAAAAGTTTTTGAAAAATTTCAAGAAATGATAGATACTCCGTAAGCCCAGATAATGTTTTTAAATACTTAATAGGATCCATATAACACTGGGGAAGAGCAGTTTTATTGTCCTAGATCTGTCACTTGTTTTTGAATAACTTTCGGTCTCTGAATCCAAAAATAACCACATTTTTTTTTTTTTTTTCTTCCCTATCACATCAACTTTTTAAATTACAGGATACCCTCTCTTTGTCTCAAATGTCATACAAAACGGCCATATAAGAGGTAAACTTTACAAATGAATAATAATTTAAAAAGAATAGTTTTATTCATACAAATAGTAAAAGTTTTTTTACCAAACGGTAAACATTTATATACTGAGGTAAAAATTTTCGCTTATAGCTTTTTCTGGAGTGTATAATGTGGGGACGTTCTTGCTTGATGCTCCAACAATAGTCAGCCATCATATATACATCCCATCTCCCTTGGGACTGTGCCTCCATAACCTTCAAATCTCGTTAAAATAACTCACCCTGCTCATCACTGACCCCATCAAGATTTTTTTTAGAAGTTATCAAGATGACTATGTAAAAAAAAAAAAAAAAAAAATGCTATTTGATACTCATGTTACAACAAAGCATTTTGAACCTCTTCCAAAAGCTGCTGGACAGTTTTGCTGTAATTCTGTGATCGTGTATATCCAAGAAAGTTTGAAAATGTTTTTGAAAGCCAACCAAGCATTCTTTTGAAGTTTGGTCATTATTCCAAAGAAATGTTCATCTTTAAGGTGCTTCCAAATCTGTGGACCTTCGAACATGCCAGCCTTTATCTTTTCTGGCTAGGAAATGTCGAAAAGAGATATTTGAAGCAGCCTCCTTTAATTGGCAAAACTGTAACAGATTGTTTCATAAGATTCAGTTTTATATGTAGATGTGAAAATATGATGTTCTCTCTGTCAACAAATGGCTGTTGTTGAGTGTTTGGATCATCAAATTTCAGGTCTTCTTGGTAGCCAATTCAACTGTACCTAACGCTTTGTACAAGCTCTGCTGTCTCGCACAAGAAACAGAGATATTTGGTATACAGTCAAATACCGAAAATCCGCCAGCTCCTGAAATCCGCGTACCCTCTCAAAATATAAACATTAAGTTTATAGGTTCCAGAAACCGCAACATTGAGTACGAAATATTGAAGAAAAAATACCTACTGAATAATGACATCATAATTACCGAATAATAATGAGTCATAACAGAAATACTAAATTATTGACATCATGATAAAAGTTTTTTCCCTTCTAATCTGCATCGAGGTAAAAAAGCAGACGATTCATTTAAGTTCATCATTCATGTTGTATTTTCTGAGCTTTGTTATTTCGCAAGATTATTTAATGCTGCCTTTTTTTTTAAATCCAGATATTTTGTGGATAAATTAAGAATATTTTTAATTTCGGCCCTTTTTAATACAATGACAGATAAGAAACGCACTCATCATTTTATTGCTTGCAAAGTTGAAAAATGTAAACACATTGCATTGACGGTAATGCAAAAAGTGGAAATTCTGCAAAGCAGGTGCTACTTCTCGGTTTGTAGCAGAATCGTATGGAATTGCGACACGACTGTGTATGATATACGGAAAAATAAAGAAAAGCTGTTGAAATTTTGATTCAGAGCAGTGATTCTGACACTGGAATCCGAAATCAAAAATCTTTGCATGAGGCGAAATCGGAAAACCTTGATGCTGTGTACATATAATACAATGAATAATATAATCAATTTATATATGTAATAATAATTTAATCCATATAACAAGTTATTGCAATAATGTGTATAATAATTTAATTAAATGTATCTAATATGCCTTATTTATTTTTCACTTTTAGTCTGAATATTATGATTTATCTTTTCTGTCCTGAAATCCTAAAATCCTCTGGTCCCAAGCTTTGCGGATTTCTAGACTTTCAATCAATGACTCTCTTTATATCTTCATATTCTTTATATACAAACTGAATGATCAATCAGGACTGCATGAAATAAATTTCCATAGTGAAGGAGGACACACTTCAAGCTTAACTTTGAACCATTGTTGTACGTTTGCTACGGAATTTTAGTCTGAATAGGCTATAGCTATTTAGTTAGTCGGCTATAGGCCGAAATTCCCGTTTCTCCATTAAACCATGTACGTTATGGCAATGCACAAACCCATCATCACTTTGAAAGTATTGCAGAGACGCACTTTCTCTTGATCGAAAATATGATACCCTAGCTCCTTTTTCGATATAATAAAATTAAGTTCTTTTAGTGTAATAATAATAATAAAACTTCTTTCAACTTATTTTATTAAAACATAGTAATGTTTTGGAGTTACGACTGAATGGCTCTTATTTTCTCCCTTCAAATGTAGCTCCAAGCATATATGAAAATGAAGATATTAAAAAGGGCATATTGCTGCAACTTTTTGGAGGTACAAAAAAGGACTTTACAAATAAAGGAAAGGGAAAGTTCAGGTAATATCACTAATTTTCAAATTTAAAGAGAGGGAATTTGTATATTGTCTTTCATTTGAAAAGTTAATTTTGGAAAATTTTTATTATGTAAAAATATATATACTACTTGGCATTTGTTGTTTTGGATAATTTTTGATTACCTCCTGTCACATTTTCTTAGTGGGAAAAAAGGTATATTTATTTGTCATTTGCATTTGATTCTATTCTCTGCATTTATCTGTGGAATTAATTTACATTTTGTGTTAGATAAAAAGAAAATCACATGATAGGTAGAGGGAATAAAATTATAGAATTTGATGAACACTATTTACTGAGCATTCCGTGAGACCAGAACAAGCGATTGTCTGCGTGTTCATCGCAAAATAAATTTGTTTGACTTAAAAATGATTAAAAATTACAATGTAAAAAATTTGAGTGCAAGTGATTATAAACAGTGTGAAGAAGCAGCAGAGAATTTGATGATATTTTCAGATTCCTAAAAATGTTATTCAGCGCAAGAAGGTGCTGAACATTTTGTAGATTCCGCTTAATTTTTTTTTTTTTTTTTTTTTTTTTTTTTTTTTTTAAAGCTTATTTTCCTGAAGTTCCTTTCTTCAATTTCATTATTTTGTTTTTCAGATTAGTTACTTCATAACGTAACTCTATAATCTTTAATCTTATGTTAATGTTTAAGAGTTATGCTTTAAAATAGAATCAAGAATGTAATCAAATGATAAATAATAAACTTCCTTTTTGTAGATTGATATGAATATATAAGATAAATTTATGTTCATGTGTATTTGTTTTAGAGCTGAAATAAATATATTACTTTGTGGTGACCCTGGAACCAGTAAATCGCAGTTGCTACAATATGTATATAATCTTGTACCTCGTGGGCAGTATACATCTGGAAAAGGATCGAGTGCTGTAGGATTGACTGCATACGTTACTCGCGATCCTGAAACACGGCAGCTTGTGTTGCAAACGTAAGCCTTAGTTAGATCAAATGTTTCTGTGTTTGTTAACTTTAAATCCTCATATATTTATAATTAAGATTATTCATAATATTTCAGAGGAGCTTTGGTTTTGAGTGACAATGGAATTTGTTGTATTGATGAATTTGATAAAATGAGTGACAGTACTCGATCAATTCTGCATGAAGTAATGGTAAGTCAATAATTTTTGTTTATATTCATTTAAAATAACAAACATGAATTCCCAAGAGGGTTAATTTGAGACTAAGTATTTAAATATTAAATATTATTTGCAGTACAGTTATAAGGTATTTTTCCCGCTTTCCTAGCGTGGTGTAGGTTCTGCACTCTGGGCCAGTATTCCAGAGGTCCGTGGTTCGATTCCCAGCGAAGGCATTTGCTAATTTTTCATCTTGCCTGCTTCCAAAAATACCTAATGTCTACAGTGGCGCCTGAACTAAAAGGGTGTTGGATGATGATTCTCCTTACCCAGGATTTGGCGATTGGGTCCCCTAAAAACTCCGGCCTTTAAAAGGGGGAGTATATAAGGTATTTCTCCCACCTTCGTGGTGTAATGGTTCTGCATGCTGGGCCGGTATTCCAGAGGTCCATGGTTCGATTCCCCGGCGAAGATTTTGTTAATTTTTCATCTTTTCTGCTTCCAAATATCTAATGTCTCCACACAATTTTCTTATCTTCTTGCAACAAATTTAAGGAAGCAAAAAATTTCGTCTTTTTTATTATAATTATTTAGAAAAAAAATCTATTCTTTTTTTTTCATATCTGAGAATATATTTTGGGATATGTAATAGGTTTTTAAATTTCTTAATGTATAAGCCATTGATTGTGAAACATCAAGGAATGTCTAAAAACGTTTTGAAGATGTAAACAAAATGTTTTTATTGAGGAAGTAAATTTTTTTAGCACCGCTAGAAAATAAACTCAGATTGAAGGAGTTCCAAGTATTCAAGAAAAATGCTAATGTCTAAGTGGTAATCGCAGAAGTGAGTGAGATATTTGGAAGTTCTTATTTCTCACAGGTTATATCAACATGTGTGTTAAAAAAATTTCTGGTATATGCTGTGTCAGTGAAATCTTGTCATTTTGTTATCCAAGTTAACTGAAAGAATCACAGTTTTTATGTAAAACATAAATTTCAAAAATGTATTCCTAAATTGGTTTTTCTGCTTCTAAAAATTTACTTTTTAAATTTCTGCACCTTATTTTATGATTCATATGCCCCTAACAAACAATGAGTATCATAAAATTTTGTTCATGCATAAAGTCAAGCACTCCTCTGGATAAAAATTTACTTTTTAAATTTCTGCACCTTATTTTATGATTCATATGCCCCTAACAAACAATGAGTATCATAAAATTTTGTTCATGCATAAAGTCAAGCACTCCTCTGAATATAATATCCCATCTGTCACACTTTCAGTTCAAACATGCAAAAACTGAAATTTATTAATGTACAATTTTAAAATTTCTCTGTGTTCTAAATATTTATTAACTGATAAAATGATAAATGAAAATTAATATAGAATATTTTTCATTAAAAGATCAATTACACTGAATGAAATTTTCTTGTAGCCATGAAACATGTTAAAAAAAGTTAGACATTATTTTAATTTTTAGAAAATAAATTTATTATAGGAGAGTGTTTTTCTTTGAACATTATTTACTTATTTTGCTTACTAATTATAGCATGTAATTGCTGCTATTATTCAGACATTTATATTAACAGGCACCTTTATCCATTTTTCATACAAGATAGGTCAAGAAATATTAATTAAGGGATTTTCTTCAATTTCTTTTTTATCATGTTATGATTTTAAACATCACAGCAGGAAGTTTCATTTCATCGTTTGTGAACAGCATAATATCACCCACTTCATAGCTAGATGGGTGATTTTCTTTCTTTTGCAATTGCTTGATCTTTTTCTGTACTTCCCGAATTTTTTTAAACACTTGATATGTTTTCTTTCCAATGAAGGGATGTATTGCTAGTCTTAATTAAATAATATATGTGATGAAACTCATATCAAGAAAATTTTAGTTATCTCTCTTAAGATATTTTTAATAATGTTCTGATTTTACATTGCCTGGCATGTTAGTGAATTTCTCAGCTATATAGTACAAATGAATGATGGGATTTAGCTACTGTGTCTTTTGATATGAAATACATGCTTTAGTTGTTTCAATAATTATTAGAATGGAAGAAGTCATTATTATACCACTTACTGATTATAGGACGCATGATTTGTTAGGTGACTGTGTATTTTGCATCTTCTCATAATATGATTCAGCATTGTGTCTGTTAGTTTGCAGAAAAACATACTTAAGTTTAAAATTAGGCAAAAAAAAAAAAAAAAAAAAAAAAAAGCAATCTCACATTGACATAGATTTTGAAAGGGAAGACTATCAATTTTCATTTTTCTCTTCTTAAGGAGGAGTTGTCACTTTTCATATCACTGTGTCAGTAATATGTACATGCGGACCTTCTGTTGTTTCACTTAGGAGTTTTTCACCATTAACATAACTTTTAATCAACTAAAAAATTTTTGTTAATCTGACAGAATCTTTGAAATGTTAACAGTTAGAGAGAGAGAGGAATTATGTAGCATCCATTCCTGGTCCCATCAATGGTGAACTTTGAATACTTAATAATTTGATCAGGAAAGTTTTCCTTTAAAACTTTCATCAGTCTTGCAGAGTCTTGTCCTACCTTGCATAAGCCAGAAATCAGCACTGTCTGTTGCAGTGCTCCAATAGCTGTTTGCATTTAATTTATTGTACAGAAATGTATAGCAGGACGGGAATGAAAGTTCAGCTTCTACCTTACTTTCATCTAAATGCAGATTTCTCTCCCAGTACGCTGAGAACAGTTACGTACCTTTGAGATGCTGTGTGGATGATTATATTACATTCCTTCACTTTTGTTGCTGTTATTTTCCTTGAGTATGTAGTTACAGCTAAAATACCATTTTTTCTTCTTACACTATCTTATTAGGACTATTTAATGGTCAGCTATTTGTGTGTTTTATGATATGTAGATTTAGAAAGAAGTTAATAAGGAAATTAGCAAGAAAATTAGTAGCATAGACACAGTACAAACTGAGGAGAACATTCTGGAGAATGATGATAGTAAGCAAGCTGTTTTGTAAAAAAGGATGAAACAACTGGAAGTTAACCTTGTAGAGTCATTAGGTTATTTTGATGGAGGCGTGAAACTAAGTTTTATGATCAGTGCAGTTCTGAATGCAATTCCTTCAAAATTTTCAGATATGTATTAGTTTTTCTGTAAAATTCAATTTACTCTTTCTGATTTTTATTGTGATGAAAGTGACAGGTATTTTAATAGGTAAAATCTGGGTAAAGCTTATGGCAAAATTTTAAACAAAAATGTATTAATAGTATTAATATAAAAATAGATGCATTTTACAATAAGACTGTCATGTGTTTCTCATGTAGTATGGAAAATTTTTAGAAAAGCTGTGAAAAAAAAAATTGATTTTCAAGGGTAATTTATTATTATGGCTGCCATTATTTAAATGGTTCCCAAAGCCCTTCTGGTAAAGAATTGTGCCAAAGTGGCAAGCCTACTCGGTTTTTTTATGACGTGTGAACTATAAGTGGCAACAATTTGTCAAGAGCTCGATTTAAAGTTGCCACTTTGGTGCAGCCCATTAACAAAACTTGCTGACACCATTTAAGTAATGGGGACTATAATAATAAGAAAGTATCTTTTCAGTACAATAGCAAGAGGGCTTTTGGAGCCATTTAAGTAATAAGGCCAATAATAATAAAGTAGTATCATTTCTGTTTTTGATTTCAAATTTATTTCTCTTTCTTTTATTGTCTCTCTTATTTTTGTGGTTTTCATTATTCAAAAGTGTAGAGAATTGCAAAAGGTGTTTATATGTTATCACAACCACCTTAGTAGAAATCACCAACTTTTCAGAATTTGCCAAACTCTAGCAAACATATGTGAAACCATTGTGATTACAATTCTTCAGTTAAGCAATGTTGGCATTTTAGTATGAATTCTTTTCGTTGTATTCCAAGTTTCAACAGTTTTTATAAACAAATCATGATATTTTACTTTCAACTTAATTATAAATGTATGCTTGCGTAACTTTCTAGCAGTGGAAGAATCCGCAGTAAAATTTCTGCAGGAATAGAGAATAGGATTTAAATCTGAAAATACAAAGATTTTTTGATAACTTCAGGATAGTTATATAATAACCACAAGCAAACATTTCGGACAGTACGTTTAGGATCAGGATCATTATGCTGATATGTACAAACAAGCATAGGTACTATGGTCAAACATAAGTCATATTTAAAACTTGCTGATATTTTGCCAGTTCCGTGTCTTAACATAAAACTGGTGAGATGTCATTTGCTGACTATGTCAGATGTTTTACTTTTTAATCTGATTAATTTAAACAAAAATGCATTTAATTCATGATATATCTTATAAAAACATTAAATTTTTTTACAAAATTACACTATATATTTTTTCACAAACAAATATAGTGAAGATGTATAAATGTTCCCATGTTAATCTGAGTACTACCATATGAAATGTTTCACTATTCTACCTTGACCACCTCTATTGATAATTTCTACCAATAAACCAGATTAAACTTTAAAGGAGCTCTTTTAAGTAATCATTACAAACTGAACTCTTTTGCTTTTATTTATTTATCTTGTTTTTGCATGAGACAATTTTTCCCCCCTCCTTTAGGAGCAGCAAACACTATCAATTGCCAAAGCTGGTATCATATGTCAGCTCAATGCTCGCACATCAATTTTAGCTGCAGCAAACCCAGTGGAATCACAATGGAATAAAAATAAAACAATTATAGAAAATATACAGTTGCCTCATACATTACTTTCCAGGTAAGATTTTTGTTTGTTTTTCCCATTCTTAAGTAGAAATATTATACAGTACTGTCTGTCTGTAAAGTCTGAAATCTGGCTGTCCAATATCCTTCACAACCTAATATCTTGACCACCATTTTTCTTTCCCACAAAATTTAAGAATGGAGAATATAATACTCCAGAAAGAAGTAAGATATGCGATGAAAACCCCTTTGCCCCTCAACTAACTGATATTTCAGTATATAAGTCTCAAACGCCTGCTAGTTGGGGAATACATTGACTGATGTTAACCACAGGGCTGTGGAATAAGTAGGGGAAATGACTGACTCCAACTTTGACTTCCTAAATATTACTGTAAGACTCCCTGTACGTCACTTCTGTTTCACATCTCATAGTTAAGACTGGTGTCTAATGAGAGTGCTTGAGGTTCTTAATTACTTCTTTTTGTGTTTTTTAAGTTTTTTCTAATCTAATTAGAAATTATTTTATTTTTCCTTGCTTTGGGGAAGGGCCAGAATTATCGGGTGAACTATAATAATTAAAATACATTGAAATGGTTCATCGGCTAATTCTGGATACAGAAAAGCAAGGATTTTTTTAGAAGAGAGAGTTCAATTGATTTCAATGTTCCTCCCCCCGATGAAATAGCATGGAAGTTGACTGAATTCCTCTTCTGTTTTTGTTCGTTTTTCTTTAAATTTCATTAATTTTTTTAAATGGGGTCTTTCTGTTAGAAGTCGAAGTTGACCTGTTTTTAGCGACTCCAGCTCCGACTCCTTTTACCCCAAAATCTGCCCAACTCTGATTCAGACTCCAAGACTCCGACTCCACAGCCCTAGTTAACCACTACCACCACATATTTGGGCTCTGACTGCTGGTGGAGATGAGGGGTTAACATTATTGCATACATACAGGTTCATAATGGATTGAATGCACTCAAAACTGATAATAGCTTAATCAAATTTATTTTCCTAAAAGAAACACTTTACAATTCTGGAACTTTCCACAAAAGCACTCATACAGCTCTGCTTAGTATCACAGAGCACAATCAGTAATTACACTTCAAACTATTAAGAACATTAAACACAATGCATTGCAAATTGCATTTATAAGGCAAAGTTCTCATGGATTTTTCAGTACTCCAAAATCAGCTTTGAAATAATAACTGAGAGCAGATGATTTCTCTAGTCTTATACAGTTTTTACCTGGCCGCCAAGAAATCATTAGTATCTTTCATTTCTCGAAATTACTGGAAGGCATATACAGTTAAACTTACATGTAGAGGCCGGATATGCTTACAGTTACATATAGGGATCAATTACAGTACCACTTATAGTTAGTTATACAGGGAGTGGACCAAAATGTTGGCAAGTTTTGGCAACAAAATTAGTTGCTAAAAGTGTCATCAGCTTGGTGACCTTTCGCACTTTAGCAAGATGGTAATTTACTCAATGTTAAATAGACTTGCCTCCGTAATCTTATTTTTCTAGCAGAGTATCTTCTCTTTCAACCATTTCATGTTCATTTCACTAAAATTATCTATGTACAAAATTTGTAACATTGCCTCCTTGCCAAGGATTGCATGTCCTGGACAGTACATCCCTGAAAAGGAAACCATACATGCAACTAAGGAAAATCAATGCAATACTAAAACAATAATTTCAGTAACATAAATCAAATCAAATACTAAATCAATCAATAAATGCATAAATTTACAAACATATATACAAATAGGACCATGATCTTAGTATTCTATTTACGATATATACACTACGAGGACTATGCGCTATGGCCATAGTAAAGGGCTAGCCCATCATACTAAACTACTTTAGGATTAAGATTTGATCACTTAAGAGATCCAAACTACGATGTCATTCATCCCCATGACAAACATGACCTTCGACAACTATTCTACACATGCGCAAAAGGGTATTAAGGTTGAATGTGCTTCAACAGCTATTTGTAACTGTATGTGTCGCGTATGTGTAGCTGTTTCCCACTACGATGTAATGGAGCCACTCCTGCTTTAGTGAAGCTTTACTTCTTAATAATACATATTCTTTGTCGTATTTATCTTAATGATACACATTCTATTCAGCACTAGAAAGCCTCTCCAGCACGGACCAGCCGAGTTTTGATACTCAAGAAGTGAAAGAACTCTATAGGGATCTTTCCACAAAACATCGAATAAAATTTTCTTCGGTGAAAGCGCACGCTGAATATGAGGGAAATGAGCGGGCAGATGCCTTTGCAAAAGAGGCTGCTACTGAGGTAAATATAGATAGAATAGATTATCAGGGATCTAAACAGAAAGCAGTAAAGAAAATGGATCTAAATATATAAAAAGAATGGGGAGATTCAGACCGTAGAAAGGACTACTTAGAAAATATTGAAGTCTCAAAAAAATTAAAACTATAACCGATAAAGACCTTTTTCAGATCCTTTCAGGTCAAGGTAGATTCCCAACTTACCTAAACAGATTCAAGAAAATGCAAACTGTTTGCTATGCGGAAAGCTGGGAAATAACAGTCACTATAAAAGAATGTGAATTGACAAAACACTTTAGGAATAGCAAGATGGATTTAAAGACCTGGTTTATACTGGAAATAAATCAAAAAACATAGCAAAAGAGATTGTGAAAAGGATTAATAAAAACCTGGTTGCAGTTGGAATAGAACAATAACTAAAAAAAAACCCAATATTGCTGCTGCTGGAGACATCGTTTATTCATGTTGTGTTGTCCTTTATGTTTTTCCTTCGTGGCCAGGCTAGAAAAGTCATAAGGCGAGCTTTGGCTTGTCAGGAGGATGGGCCGTATCATACCTACCTACCTGTTTAAGCCTATGTGAAGACCGCCCCAGGGTGACTGTAGTTTATGAGAGATTTTCATCCAGTTGGATTCCGTAACCACACCTTGTCACCTTCATTGAACTGATATCATGTAGCTCTCATGTTATCAGTGGCATAAGTAGAGTTTGAGGGCTCCTGTGAAAAAAAAAAAAAAAAAATTCTGCGCCCCATTCTTCATGATTTACAACAATTCCCAAAAAAGGGGGAATCAAGAGCTTTTCACTAATGATGGACTTTGGTTGGGGCTGAATTAATTACTACGTATTATAAGCATGCACTTATTGGGTACAAAGGTGGAAAATTGATAATAGAATTTTTTTTGCGAGAAAAATTACAAAGTGTCCCCCCTTTCTTTTTCCTTTTATCTATTTTTAGGTTAACAAAGAGTGAAAACTGTAGTCTCGTTCCTGGCATCAGTTGGTTTTTAATCCAGCTTTGCAGGATCAGGTTTTTATGAGATCTTCCTTTCATCAGGGATGAATCGGGGATAAATAAATAAATCTGTAGAGAAAAAAAAAGCATGTCATGTAAAATAAAAAGGAAACATGAAATATAAGTTTAAAGAGAAAAGGCGTAAATTAGAAAATTTTATGTAAAATTTTATTTTTAATTTGATATGAAATTTGTGCCAATCTAAGGTTCCTTTATCATAATTATTTATTTAATGTTTTTAAAAAATTAATAAATGACTAAGTTACAGACAACTTACAAAAATTAATTATATTAATTTTACACCATAAATAATTTAGCTCTCAAATTTTAAATATTCAAAATATTTTTTAAAAAATTAAATAAAAATAAGCCATTTTTGAGCATAAAAAATGTATTGTCTAACCTTAAAACAAACATTTATGTCTGAAATTTCATAAACAAAATTGTTTGACAGTTTATAATTTTTTTATAAACGATACATTTGCTGAAGATTTTCCCCTCTTAATTTTTCTATGTCCTTAATTTTCTTCTTTTCATTAGCTCAAATTTTTTTGTAATTAAAATAATACTGTGGTTTGCTGATGTTGTAAGGTTCTTTCTATTATCTGTGCCTTCAACTTCAGCCTACCATCAGAATGTCCAGAGCTCAAACCCTGGCGAGGGCATTATTAATTTTTCATACTGCCAACTTCCACAAATCTAACAACTCTATAACATGATATAGAAAACTCTCATCTCGATAGTTTCATTTTTGCAAAATAATTTATTAATTCCCTGGGAATTCTGCCACTTTTCAATCATCTGAATTTCATTGCATAGCAGTGACAATTTTGAATGAAATTAAATATGTAGCAGATTAAAATTAAACTCTTTTTATGCATTTCGAGTGATTAAGGCTGTTGAATTCTGTGGTTAAGATTGTTCAACCTAGGTTCGGTCCCAAGTGAACGGGTTGGCTGCTAGGTTTTCATGGTTTCCTCATTGTGTAACTTGAATATGAGCCAGTTCCCCTTAGAAAGTCCTCCACTGTAGCATCTCTCTTCTTTGGAAGATAGCCTTCGTGTGCTTTACCGTATTCAAGTAAACTAACTTTTTATGCATTTCTTGTTAAATCATTTTATAAATAATTAGTTGATTATTTGCATAGCAACTGTTGACCAAGTAAAACTAGATTGGATTACTTGTTACATTCATGAAAGCTGTCTGCTTAACAGAAGAAATGTTTTCATGGAGGACTGTGTAAGGGGAACTGGCTCGTATCCATGTTACAACCACGCACTTTCAAGCACATCTTGTGTTACACAAATAATTTCACTAAAATTATTTACATTATTTTTCTGTGCGACCTAAACAAAAGCTGTAAATTCTATGCATATTTGTTTGGAGTAAGATGTTGCCAATACTGGTTTTTCTTTTGTTGGTATAACAATGGGAGGAGAGCTCTCTGTTAATTAATTGGCTTACTATTTTTTGCAGGTTATTATTATTACAGCTATCTCACCAAAATTACATTTTGAATTTTCAATTTTGTTGAAAAGAGTCTTAATTCTGAAGCTATAGAATGATCTGCAAAGGAGAGCTGTATTTGTTACTTGACGTCTGTAATCAATCCTTGGTGCAAGAGAAATGGCATTGGCACAGTTGAGATTTAAGAAAGTACCGTTTCCAAATTAGGCAAAACAGCAAGGTTGTTTTGGCATAGATTTTAATACTATAAAAGGTAAAATTTTCCAAATAATGGAATTTGTAAAAAAATGTGTAGACGTGATAGTAAATTAATACAATATATAACAGAATGCATAACGGCAGTTTTCTGTTGCAGTGACAGGCCCCTAATCAGCAATCAACTAACAGACAGAGAGATCTGTAATATGCCTTGAAATCTAGAAAATATTGCTACCAGTAGTGACAAAAATGACAACGAAATTTTTTAGAATTAAAAGATTTCAATTGACATTTTAATAGGAATTTTTGACCTGGAAGTTACAGGACTTGAGCAGCGAATCTTTGTAACTGGACAAAAAAATAGTATACCCATCTGTAAAATTAAAGAGAAAGTGTTAGCAAAAAAAAAAAAGAAAAGAAAGAAAGAAAGAGGAAAAATGAAAGTAGTGAAACACCATGTGAACAACTTACATTGAAATAATTGTTTAATAAAACAAACGTGTGAATATTGAACTCTTTTTTTGGGGGGGATAAATTTTAATTTTCTTTAAAGTCATAAATACTTCATTATTTCATAAACAGCTATTTTATATTTTTAATTTCTATATGTCATCTTACTTGATTTAAACTGATGATCGAAAAAGCCAAAATTCCAGTGATTCTGGATCTTGGACTTTGTATTGTATATATATATATATTTCCATCTTGTACTGAACATCTATCTATAAGCTATTTAATAAAAAAAAAAAAAAAAAATACAAATCTCACTTCCCCCCCCCCTCTTTTTTTTTTTTTTTTTTTTTTTTTTTTTTTTAATAGCAGTGAAGGTATTCTTATAGGCTTTGATGTATGTATTTCAGAGCAGTAGTATTTATTGTAAGCTTATAAATTTTATCATGTAAATTAAATAGGCATTTGTTGTACCTCTCACATACAGCGAGGATAAGTCTGGCAACAGCTGCAGGAAGAAAAACTTGGCAGTGTTGGAATGGCAATAGCGGATGATATTCTATATTCTATATACTTTTAATTTTGAGTTTCAGTTTTTTTTTTTTTTTATACTATTGCATTACAAAATTTGAGTTTTGGGTGAATGAAATGGAGTACGCTGACCCACTGCAAATATTAGTAAATTAGATTTAGAAAATAAGCTGCGTTGAAAAGGATGAAACCCTTGTGTTTGAATTTGCGGTATTTTACCTTCTAAAGTTGCGTCGAGTTCAGAAATTATGCCGGGCTTATTCATGCTGGTGCAGATAAGTTGAAATTTTTGTTATTGTGTTTATAGTGTATAACTTGGCAAATATATGAATAGAATTCTATTAAATAAACATTTAAAATTCTGAAATGGTGTTTTAAAATTTTAGATGTAGAGTATTCACATTGCCATGTCGGAGCCAGTGGCAGTCAGGTGTAAAGTAAAATTGTTATTGCTCCACGATATAACAGCATTAATTTTCATTTCATTTGCACATAATATGTCTTATAGTTTTAAATCATTTTAAGCCCTAAAACTTCATAGTTTCTTAGTATATACACTACTTGATCAATATGAAGTAAAGTATGAATTTATTTTTGATTTAAACTGTTGAAGTTATCAACAATAATCATTTCATTTAACAAGATTTTCAACATTCTATAGCATATGTTAAATACTTTATTTTTGATTTCCTCCTCAAGGCACTAATAACTATCACCGAATTACAGATGGAGCCTCTTATGGAACCATTCCTAAGATTGCTACCTCTCAGAAATACTGATCACTTTCGAAACATAATTAAATAATGGTACTGAACATTCTCGGTAGTCATGTTTTCTGAAGTCACCATTTTTACAATATATATCTGAAACCATGGGTAGTGAACTTCAGCTGTTTATATGAATTGTAAAAAAAAAAAAAAGAAAAAAAAGAAAGAAAGAAAGAAAGAAAAAACAACTAGTTTTGTGATTTTATTATGTGATGTCTTCTTATTTTTCATAGGTTTGATCTTATATTTTTGATCCTGGATCCACAAGATGAAGTATACGATCGAAGATTAGCTCGTCATTTAGTGTCTTTGTATTATAGAAGTCCTGATGAAGAACAAGAAGAACTTCTGGTATGTCCTTATTTGTATTCTTTGTACATCAGGGTTCGTACAGTCCTTAAAAGTCCTTAGATTTTTTGGAATCGATTTTTGGTCCTTAAAAGTCCTTAATTTTTGGCCAAAATCAACAGAAGGTCCTTAATTTTAATCACCTGAAATTTCTGTCTGTTTTTACGATTGCCATTTTGAGTGTGAATTAGCATTTTGAGGAATATTTTTGGCAATTCACTGCTGTATATATGGTAATCTTTTGAATGCGTTCATGAGTTATAATTTGTTTCTATTTCTAATATAAATGATGGGATACTCGAGTTTCTAAGCAAGAAGTGAAACATAAGCATTTCAAAATTCATTCTAATATAAATAAATGATGGGATTTATATTAGAATGAATTCATCATTTATATCAATATCAATCATAATATAAATGATTCATCATTTATATTAGAAATATTTCTATTTCTAATATAAATGATGAGATTGAGTTTCTAAGCAAGAAGTGAAACATAAGCATTTCGAAATTCATTTTTTCTAGTAAAACAACAAACTTAACTTAAAAAAGCAAAAAGTTGTTCTTAAACAACTTTGTTTAAGAAGTTGTTTAAGAACAACTTTTTGCTTTTGGGAATGTGAATTCTTTTATTAAACGGTTCTAAATTTGGCGACTTTTCGAACATTTGGCGATTTTAAGATTAGTTTCTATAGAAAAACTTATTTAATTCCAAATCTGCGAATTTTTCGACAATTTTTTTAAAACATCGTAACAGATAAAATTCTATTAAAATAATGGTAATATATTGAAATTATATTTAAAAAAATAAATAAAATAAACATTTTATTTTCGCTGTCATATTATAAAGTTTCATTTTGGCAACTTATACAATATTTTGAAATCTGAGAAAAATAAACAAGGTATAATGCTTTAAAGCACAATTACGAAACAGCTCTTAGCAAAAGCAAAATTAGTTATGTAATTATTAAAAATTTCTTGTTTTAATTTTTTCATAGTAAGAGTTTTTTCCCTTGTAATTGTCTCAGAATATTCAAAAATTCTCAGAATGTGCATCAGTTTTCTCTATAAAATTAATTTTATACTTTTCCCTCCTACTTTTTTTAAATATTTCTGGCTTTTTCTGTTACAGAAATGGTAAGGATAATTTTTCTTTAGGATTTTAGACATTGCAGCTTAGAAAGTTTAGAAGGTTTTGAAGGCAAGATTTATAGACCCACGATTCTAGAAGATTAGAGAAATATGTGACAAAATGAAAAATCTCCATGCATAGTGGTGTATCAAAATTTGTGGAGTTTCTTCATTTTTGAAAATCTGGAAGAACAATGAAAACATGAATATTTGAATGTATTACTTCTGATACTAGAATCTTAACATGTTTATCTTCTCTTTATTTTCTCTACTTTTCACTAGACAGAAGCATGGAAAACATCGAAAGTGCTTCTGATCTTATCACATGGACAGGCATTATAGAAAGGGGTTTTTTTATTAATAAAGAAATTGAAAACTTAAATTTAAAAGATTCATCTAATATTTCTTAATGCATCATACACATACTTGACACTAGGCATTTTCCCACCTGATGCAATCTCTGTGGATCCTAAATTCTGCTTCCAATGCTTGCTCTAAATTCTAAAAGTTTTGCCATTTCTAGATTTTGTTGTTTGGTGTGTCACTAAATTCTAGAAATTCTGCCACATCAGCTCTGTAACCGTCCTTTACTATATATATTTCATATTGCTTCTGAATGTTCATATTACTAAAGAAATAAAATTAGCCGCTTTTTCTGTACATTTAATGCATTTAGTGTTTTTTTAAAATAACGGAAATCCTTAATTAAAATCCAAAATTTCTAAAATGAAAGGAAACATGGCTGAAGAAAGAAACTGAGTACATAAAGGAAATTATTCTTCAAAGATATGTGCAGTTATTATTATGTAAATTACCCAATTGTTTATGATTTCAACCTTTACTATAATTCCCATTTCTATTTCCTCCCATATGATATTGTTATTGAGCCAGATTAAATTACAATTAATTGCTTTGACCACTAGCCACATTATAGTTTGAATTTGACTGTTCTTGTTAATTACGTCACCGTGAGCTGTAATTGATTTGTTAACATCAGAACATGCCTTTATGTTCCAAGTTCTTTTTAAATAAGAGGCTCATTTAAACCTTTGTATGATATTGTAGTTAATTTCAGACATAGTGATAATATGCTTCATGTCTGTCGGGGGTTTTGGACTATTTAACTTTTACCAGATCAGTTAAACCCTCATAGGTACATTAGGGAGAAGTTGACAAGTTAGGAGATGAAGCACACAGAAACTAGTGAGAGCATTGCTTTGCATATTGAGACAAATCTCTAATTGTTAGAAAAGATGCTTTAACGAAAAGGAAATCGATATAAATGTTCAAATATGACCAACTATCAAAAGTGTAAAATATTTAATGCTACTTGATAAATTGCATAGTTTATTTTATTCTCAAACTTATTAACAATTATGTTAATTAATTCATGTTTAGTAATAATGCATACTACTTAGGGATCTATTTTATTGTTAGGATGGTATTACAAAAGTGAAATTCAGCATGATATAATACCTTCAATGATTTATCAAGTTCCCTTTGCTCATAGGTCCTTAATTTTTTTCATTGATGGTCCTTAAAAGTACTTAATTTCCGTGTGCAGAAATATGTACGAACCCTGTACATAGAGTTGAATAAATCCAAAAAAATTTTCTTAATGCAGAATAACAAAAATGTAAAAGTGTGAAAAATTTTTATTTGATTAAAAAGGGATACAAATATGGCCAGGACTGTTGCTGTTACAAATTACTGCTTATACACAGCAATGTGTGTCTTTGGATGAATACAACCTTTACCTTCACCTTACTTCTCATACACATTAGAACTTGATCATTTGTGTTTTGCAGTCACAAGAGTTGAGAGTAAAATTAGCACTCTAATCAAGTTTCTTATTCAAGAAAATGTCCAGTCATCTGAAATTTTTCAATTTCCAAGAAAGGAATATAGGGAAGAATGTCCATCTAGGTGTAATGCATTTGAATGATGTGTATCACTATCAAAGAATTTGCATCGATGTTTTCAATCTGTGTTGGTAAAGCAAAAACTATTGTGAAAAAACTTTTGCGCTACAAATACAATATCACCTTGAGGCAAAAAATTGACTCTAATCCTATTAAAAAACCAACTGTAAAATCAAGCATTTATTCTCATATGTTATTACACCGAAAGCTGGAGTTCTCATATAACTCAACTATTTTATGCTATTTATGGTGTTTCTCTTTGGTAAATTTATATAGATGTAATTATTAACCCTTTTTTATATTAAGTTATTTTAAATTAATATAAACTAAAATTTTTAATATTTATGAATTATTGAAATATAATATTGCTGGATATATATTTGACTAAAGAATATCTTTGAAGTGCATAGAAAGAGCTTACATTTTTTCATTTACTAATTGAAATAACACTTTATAATTAATTAATCCTAATACTAGAAATTTATCATCAGATTTGAAAAAAAAAAACTTGTTTTTAGGACCTGAGCCTTTTAAAAGACTACATTGCATATGCTCGTACTTATATTCATCCCAAGCTGAGTGAGGAAGCCTCTCAGGCATTAATACATGCTTACGTGGAAATGCGTAAAATTGGTGCAGGACGTGGGCAAGTATCTGCTTATCCCAGACAATTGGAATCATTGATACGTCTTGCTGAAGCACATGCTAAAGTACGCTTTTCCAGTGTTGTTGATTTAGTTGATGTTGAAGAAGCTAAAAGGTAAAATAAACTCCAGCTCTCTCTATCTTTTTTTTTTTTATTATTATTAAGCCAATAAAAATCATAATTTGGCATAGATTTTACTCTAAATAAAAAAATTGCCTTGGAGGGGGGAAAGGGTGTGGGATTGATTGTCTTCAAAATCTTTGCAAAACTAAGGTTTTTTTTTTTTTTTACCTAATTTTAAATTTTACATTGGTGTGCTTCTTTCCCAGTTTGAATATATATTTTATTCTATTGAATTTCTTTATAAAGAAGTATTTTATTCAGTCTCCTGTCTGCTCTCTACTGCTAATAAAAAATATAAAATACTGTAAAATAAAAATGTTAAATTAAGTGTTTATAAACTGCTGGCACATGCAGAAATAACCTGCGAGATCTTTTAACCAGCTAACTTGTGATCAAATGAAATCAGTCAAAGTGTTAAGAAACTAGTGCAAAATTAAGTGCATTAAAACATTTAGTTATACCAAAGTATTTGAGGAGATAAAATGTCAATCCATTAGAAGTATATTTTTAAAACTTCTTATAATGTTTGACATGACATTTTTTTTTTTTTTTTTTTTTTTTAATTCAATTGATGAAAATGGAGTTTTATTCCCAGCATTATAAGTATCTTATTTCACATTTTAAAAAAATTAAGAGCTCATAAATTTCTTTGTATCATTTTAATATCGTTATTACTTTTATTGTAGCTTTAACCCTTTCGAGATGGCATGCCTTTGTTTAAGACATTTCCTTAAGGTGAATGGCAATCGAAAGTAATCATTCCACAGAGTGGGGTTTTGCATCACGAAGCCTAACTTTAGAAAAAACATTGCACACAAAAAGCTTAAGTCCTGACGTTATAATTTTTGGTACCATTTTAGATTATTATTTAAAATATCACATATGTTAAAATAAACATTTAATAATCTTTTTCCCTTGCTTTACATGAAAATATGTAAAAGAAATTGCTTATTTTGAGAAATCATTTTCAGAAGTTCTAATCAAATTATTCTAAAGTTTTAATTGATAAAATAATTAATAAACTATAAAATTATTTTTAAAAAATACAAAGAAGGACTATTTACTAGAAGAAGTAACAAAATCTGTCACGGGAAGTGGAAGGCAGGCACTCCGTCTCTGACAAAATGTCCAGATCAGAATCACTACAAATATTACTCTTTAGAAAATGAATCATCACTCTCATCCATGACAATGATTGGCTCATTTACCATGCTAGTATGCATTTATTTCCTCTGATAAATAATGCTTACTCACCATAATAAACTGGAGTCAAGGCTTTTCGAAATAGAAAGGGAAGCCCACAAAGGACTTACAAAGTAGCAAAAAAAGGATTCAAAAGGCTATCAGAAATGCTAAGTTAGGCAGAATGTGATCAAACTGAAGGTCAGGATCCTAAAACTATGTTCAATTCAAAAGTAGACACAGGGCACTGTCTATTGGTCTTTAAAAAAGGGTTCAGCTGAAAATGCACATATTCATCACCCATTCCCTAAGTGCATTCTCCAGTCTGGTGAATGCACTTGGGGTGGGATGCCTGGCTATGAGAGATTTTCGTCGGGAATGCATATGTGGGACACTCCTCCAGAAAGGATTAAAAGTACACTGTTTATATTAGGTAAAGATTGTTTTATGGTTTAGAAAAATGCAATAAATGTTTAATGGTAATCTCATTTAATTCTGTATTTTAATAATTTACATTGTTCTGCTTTTATTCATAAAACTACATTTTATTGGAAAAAAATGAATATCTGTTTATTGTGTTTAATGCTGCAGGAGCTGTGTATTTAATGTTCATTCTAGCGTTTTATGTGGATATCACTCAACTTCTGTTTAATGACATGCTTAGCATTTAGCCTCCTACATAAAACTGACATTATTTACTGGGAATGCCAACTCGCTTTTTATGTGAAATCATGATATTGTAAACATAAAGTGTTCACAGAAACAAGCATATTCCAAATTTAAGTCAATATTTCAATTTACTACTTAAAAAAACTAAAAACTACAAACAGTCTTCCTGATCATGAAAATTTATGAAAAGAGTAATTGCGTCAGTATCATGAAGAATCAGCATGGGCAAGAGATTAGCAGTAGGAGAAAATGATATGTTAAGCTGCATCGCTGCTATTATTTAATATGTGGTTATGAGTGTATTTATATTTCATATTAAAATTTTATAGTAGGAAATTCTAATAGTAGGAAAGTTGCTGAATTTTCTCTTAAAGCATATGAGTAAAACCATCAAATTTTACGAAGGATATCAAGTGGTGGCTGAACAGTAACCATCTCGGGATAGTTCTTCATCTGGGGCTCCTCTTTCACAAGAGTGGAAAAGTGTTCCATATGTTAGAAAGAAGCATATATCTATATTTTTAATATAAAAAAATTAACATTCTGGTCTTCATTCTGCGTCTATGTTTTACAAAATAAAATGTAAAAAAAAAAAAAAAAAAAAAAAAATTCCTTTAAAATTTAGTGCTACAGGGCATTTGTATTTTAGATTTTTACATTATTTTAAAAATATTTTATTAGTGTTTCTATTTGATTAATTATGAAAAATTTCTATTGAATATTTAGATTGCACCGAGAAGCTTTGAAACAATCTGCAACTGATCCATCCTCGGGAAAAATTGACATATCCATCCTAACCACTGGAATGAGTAGTACTGCTCGCAGGCGTAGAATACAAATTGGTCAGAATCTCAGAAAAATGTTGCAAACTAAAGGCAAAACTACTAAAACATTTAACTATGCCAAAGTATTTGAAGAATTGAAAACTCAGTCTGATATCGTAAGTATAGTTTTAATGGTTCATTGTAAAATTTCAATGATTATCAACCTGTATGAGTCTACATTTGAACTGCAGTTAGTAAAAAACTTGGTACTTTCTGATTATCTGCCCCGAAAAGTTAAAACTCTCTGGTGACTAATTTTTTGCCAAGCCAATGCATGAAAGACGATAGTGGTCAAAATTGCAGTGCACTAAGAATTCTGTACAAAAGCCTATAAAATTGAAAAAGCAAGAAACATTGTAATAAAACACTTAACCTTTTTCAAGATATCTTCTTTTTTCTGTTGTGCATAACGATCTGTTTTCGATTTTAAAAAAATTGGAGAATTTTACAATCTTGGCATTGTGCATGGACCGAAACATACGTTCTGAGTGCATATCTAGGTTAACACATAAATATGTTCTGCTGAAAAACTACTTTACTTTCTTAATACTTTTTTGCGCCTTTTCAATGGGAGTGCAAATAATCATAAAGTAACCAAAAATTTCAAAGAAATTAAAATTTTAAAAATTAAAAATCTATTTTTTTCACTAACAATTTAATAAAGATTCTTCTTGTTTCTCATATTTATTAAGAAAATTAACAAAAGTATTTTAATGAATTATAATTTCTATTAAAATTAAAAAGTGTGTAATTTTTATAGGAACGTTATTTAAATTACAACATACAAAACATGCAAATTATTTAGATTACAGCATACACAAAACAAGAGCCTTTCACCTCTTTCGTATTTAAGCAACTGAGTGACAAAAATCATGAAATACTGGTAGATCGTTCCAAGTATGATTTTCTGGGGCCTGAAGTAGTTGTTGAAGTGTTATGTTGTTGCATAAGTATGCACCTTACCGAAAGTGAAACTGGTAGCTGTCATTAACCACCCAACACTCCTGTAAAGTTGCTAATCATTAATGACTAATTTTTCACCAACCTAATGTGAAAAACAATTACGACTTTTAAAATCGCGGGCCAATGAAAAACACAAAAATCATCCATGATGAAAAACTTAACATTATTTTTTCCCATTCTTTTGCCTATGTGTACATTGATCCGTTCTAACTTTAAAAAGCTTCAGAGAAATGCAGAATTCTCAGCATCGCAGAGCAACTTAGCACTGCTTTCTATGTACACATCCACTTGTTTTAACTTTAAAGTATCAGAGAATTGCACAAATTATGCAAAAACTACTATTATAGGTCCGCTTGGACTTAATAGTGGTTAACGTTATCGTGTGGGTATTGTTATCAAAATACCAAAGTCTGCCAATTTATACAAAGAAATATGGAAAATGCATCGCTTATTGTGATCAACTAGTTGGTTGTTGTTATCAAAATATTATAGAAATAATGTTTTAATCTGAAGTAATGTCGTCAAGTAAAAAATTAAATTACCAAATAAGTTTGAAATAGAATATGAAAACTGCCAAATGGAGAGATGTCACCAAATATGAGATTAAGTCACTCACCATTTTAATTTTGATTTAAGGCAACATCTAAATCTTGGATTCTTCAGAGAAAGAGTTAGTCAGATTAAGTTAAAAAAAAAAGGCAATAAAGGACTGTTAAGCATGCCTCCCTTTTAATAAATGATGAAATAAAGTTGAAGAACTAAAAGTATCTCCAATTAACATCAGTTATGAGGATTTTAACACTTGGGTGGATATTGATGAAAAAAACTCTAGTTGCAGTGTCAGGACAGAAGAAGCTATTTTTTAGCCATTTTCTAAAACAAATCTAAGGCCATCTCATATGATAAATTTTCTGAAGAAACAATATGATGAAATCAGTGTTTTCCCTGCAAATGCTGAAATAAAAGAAGCCCTATGAGTATAAAGATTAAAAATATAGCATCGATCAAATAATTTCCTGAAACATTATGAATATGAACAATGCATAAAAGGGCTTTTACATAGTAATTGCAGTCAATCAACTATTAATGACTTTTTACTACTTAAAATTATGTGAAAGTAAGTAATTGTACATTTCTAGTTATATTAAATTTCAGTGATATTTTGAAAGATAGTTTTCTCATTGCTTAATGTTGTCATTTGATCAATATTATCAAAATAGTCATGGACAAACGTGATCACATAAAGCGGCACCTATTATACCACTAAAAACCATCAGAGATTTGCACTTATCTAAAAACAGCTATTACGCAATCACCCAAGAAAAACAGAACATCATAATGAAATACTAAAAATTAAATAAACATTGATAATGAAGCACTGAAAATTATATAAAACAGCAACAAATAAACTAAACTAAAAATGCAAGAAAATACATAACAAAATGCCTACCTCCCCCCCCTTACATTTTCTACTACTAGGCACAACAACCACATTTCTAAAAAAATTCAATACTTCTTTTTTCATTAGCAGGCAGGCTTTACAATGACACAATGACTCATTACAAGAAAAATAAACTCGCCACACTAACCATAAAAAAATCCTGGAATTTCAAATAAATAAAACAATAAACCAAGCTTTACAAACTAAAAAACAATATTCACCCATTCACCTGTTTTTGGCAAGGCATGTGGTTCAATGCAGAGCAATTTGTAGAATCCTGTATGAATGCTATTTAGTAGGTTCTTGTGAAGTCCTCTGGTGTTCCACCTATGGACTTAAAAAGAGGACTTTCTGAGCACAAACCCATCATAACTGATAGACAATGGAAGGAAGTAGAAGAGGAGTGGAAATCAATACCCCTAGGAATTTTATGGAAAGACCTTCATGGAAATCATGATGCAAACTTATAGTATAGAAAAAGGTTGTCGTAGCAAACTTTAAAAAAAAAAAATGGTCTTAACATTTTAAACATTATTAAACCACCCCAAAATCTTTCTAAAAATATGTAAATATCTTCTGTACATTTGTCTTGCAATAATATCCGTGAGATATAAAGGATCAAGAATCGATATGCTCAGTTATTCATATTTGACACTGGCAAAATGAACTGGAGCTACATTGCTCAGTGAATAGCCATAGGAACATTGTCCAGTAATTGTAGCAATACCAACTCTAGAAAAATGCATTATTTTTAACCATCCAATAGGGCTAGTAAGAGATATGGTCTGCTTAAGTAATCACTAATAATACCCGACCATACATCATGGAAAACCTTCGTTGGGCAGCATGTGGATGCATACTTCATGGCATGTCATGGTTTCACATGTGAATGTTGTGTTGATTGAAGGTCCCTTCACAAAAGAGAATGGCGTCATCTGTGAAAAAAATGCAAGATGGAAAGGCCAGGTTCTACTTTCCACTCGCAGCGTGCAAATTCCATGCATCGGTATAATCCTGCGGATGAAGTAGTTGGAGCCATTGCAAATCATATAGATGTAAATACTCCTTACGTAGTGCACACTATATACACTGGTGTGCAAAAATTAAGGACGAAGTTGAAAAATTAGCATATCAGAACGAAGAGGCAGAGCGGACAGAAAGACCAATCAGCAGATTAAGTTGTAGCACATGAGCAGATATGCAGGTAGACGTAATGGGGGAGTGTCTGAGTAGTATAAAGCATGTTGTCGGTGTAAGATCAGTATTTCTGGCAAAGAGATTGCATGCCGTATAGCAGTTAAAATCATACCGAGTTGCTGCCTCAGCGAAAAATGGAGAATAATCAATCTGTTAGACGACATCTGGATGCTTTTACCTGAGGTGGAATCATTGGGAAGTTGGAGGAAGGCCGCAGTGTGACAAGTGTGGCTGCAGAGTTCGGAATTGCTCACAGCATCGTTTCACGACTTTTGGAGACCATTTTCAAAACTACAGGAACAGCTATCCGGGGGTTTAGTAGTGGTCGTCCACAAGGAACCACACCCGCAGATGACCGGTATATTGCCTTACAGGCCAGAAGAAACAGGCGGCAGATAGCGGGAGAAATCGCTAGACATACGACACAGGCGACTGGACAACCGATATCGCATTTTAACTCGGCCAGAAGACTGCACGGTGGGGGTCTGTTTGCACGACGCCCCGTACAGTGTGTACCGTTTCGGCCTTCAGTCGCATTGCGCTCCATGCTACTTTTTCAATAAAGCTTCTTTTTATCCCTCTGATTTCTCTTTTAGTAAGTTTGCTTACATTACTCATGTCCTTACGTATTGGGGCTTACGGTATTAAATGTGTTGATTAGAAAGCTTTTGTACAAAGTTATATTGAAAAAAACCTTCTCGTCCTTAATTTTTGCACACCAGTGTACTTGATTGAGATGTTGCAATATCATGGGCAATGGATCGTGTGCTTGTACCAGAAGCTTCTTCCACTCAACGCAATACTCATTTTCTAAGGAGATGTGCATGTCATTCATGGCTGCCCTGTATTGTGCTTGCAGATGTATTCACACAGATTATGGTGCAAATTCATGAACATTCAGTAATTCAATACATGTTCATTTGGGTACCATTTGGCATACAATCGTGCTGCAGCCCTCCATTGTTGCAGTGAACTGCACCATAATCTGCATGTCTGCCATTTCCATGTTAATAAATCGTTCCATGCTCTCCATATGCAGATGGAGAGCATGAAATGAAGAGCGTGGAGCTTGAAATGACTAACACTGCATGCCAGCTACATCTATGGCAAATAGCACCCTAAAACATTCAAAACTGTTGATGGTAAGAACCAGGCATGTAGCCAGAAAAATTCGGGCAACTTGATCAGGAAGATGGATTTGGCTTTGGCCTTTAAAGAAATTATGTTTTTGTTCTGGTTTCACCAACAGATGGCACCACTTGCTTATTCTTATCTTATCTAATCATATTTCCTAACTTGTTCATTGCGGTTTTGCAGCTGAGGATGGTGGCGATAAAACCATCGAAACTATTCTGGAAAATTTGAAAATTAACGCTGATTTTTGTTGTTTGACTTGTGAATTAGTACTTATTCGGCGTGTGTTTGTGTCTTAACATCTAAATCTATTAAATTTCTCAAAAAAGACAAAAAAAAACAGTAAATTTATATTTTTTGTTTACGTTACTTAAGTCCCATAATATTTCGTGAATGAGCTATCGTGTTCCTGGAATGATAAAATGATTAAATACAATCCTAAGAAAAGCAAAAGAAGGAGAGTGAAGTAAAATAATATTACCAGTTGTAAGAAATGCCTTTTTAATCTTTAAATCAAGCCATTTTCATTGAGCCCAGAAAAAGGGCCAACAGATATAATACTTAATATTTTTATCCAAAACATTCATTAATTGTAAAACATGCAACAACTTTATTCTAAAATGTGTAAATAACCTTTTTTTTTTTTTTTTTTTTTTTTTTATAAATATGATTGTATATTTAAGTTAAAAATGCTGCATAATTAAGCATTACAGCTTATCATGGGGGGGGGAAGGATTTTATTTTTGATTTTTGTTCTGTAGCTTGACAAATAATGTATTGTGGGTCAGCTTTAGAAAAATAATAAAAGCAGTAGGTATTAATATAGCATTTTTTATCATTATATGTAATAAATGACTGAAAAATAACTACAATCTTTTTTTTCATGTGTTTGTCATTTATTATAGATGATTACCAGGGATATGTTTGAAGAAGTGCTTAAAGATCTTCAAGATGATGAATTTATAGTTGTTACTGGAAAGAGTACTATTCGACTGTGCACATAAATTGAAAAATGACTATCAAGCTCTGTAACCTAAACCTGTTAAAAAGATATTTAGTTCTGTATACATTTAATTCTTTTTCTTTAGTTGTCATAATTCTGTGAAATATGTATATTATGTGTTTTTTAAAGCAAAAAATAAACTACTTGTAAATGATATATGGTTTACTTTTAGTTGGTAGAATAGCAGAAAAATTGATGACTGTTCAGAAAATGTTAATGTACAAAAATGAAACTTTATTCAAATTAGTTAATTTTTAATTACTCTTTTCTCTCTCTTAACAAGAAAGTGTACTTTAATCATTGTTTTATTATGCCAGTGATGCTTGTCATACATTCCTTCTCATATACATCCATCTCTGCAAATAATTTTCAGTATTAATGAAATAGTAAATTCACTTCATGTACACTGCTCAAAAAAAAAAAAATGGGCAGTCCTATATCTCCCGATCTACTGGGCCGATTGACAAAATTCAAATTGCGTTCTTCATGTCTCAAAAGCGCGACTTAGGATATATATTAGATTTATATATAGCACTATTCTAACATAGGTATTTTGACACAAAAAATCGGACTTTTTCTGAAATAACATACCAATTTTTTTACATATTTCGATTCTACGACTCAAATTACGCCTAAATATGAAATTTTGTAAAATTTGGAGCGAAATTTACGGAGAAATTCACAAATTTATGTTGGCACTTTTTTGTCAGTTTGCGCCAAGAATACTTCACTTGGCGAACTTCTTAATATATGGCAACCTAGTTTCCTTCCTTGTGAGAGGAAAAAAAGTCACCATCGTTCCTTTTTTCCAAATAATATTCTTTATATTATATTTTTAATTATAACTTATTATTTTAAGTAATTTTTTCTTTTTCGAATTTCATTTTAATTTCATTTTAATTGTTTAAGTTGCACTTTTTTTTTTTTTTTTTCGAATAACTGTTTTAAAAATTTCTATTTACCTATTCGAACTGCGTAAATAAAGGTGCAGCGTTTTATTTTTTTTTTTCAAATAGTTTTCTTTATATATATTTTTCGTCATAGTTATTATTTTAGGTAATTTTTAAATTTTTATATACTTTTATTTTAATTGTTTGTGTTGCATTGTCTCTTCAGATAATTGTTTTTAAAATTTTCTATTTATTCCTTCGAACTGAGCATTTTAAATATATTTATTAATATCAATTTTCCAGAATTTGATTTTATTTATTTGAACTGCGTTTCTTTCGGAAGAATACTTTGTAACCCAGACTACGATGCGTTTGAAAACTGCATACTATATTAAAAGAGAAAATACAGTAAAGCACAGTTTTACACGCCTTTCAATGTTCCGTTCAGAAAAGATATATATAAATAAGAGAGATGTATAACCGACATTTTAACTTAGGATGACTTGCATACACTGCTTTAAACAGTTTTATCATTGTGCCCATTGCTTTACACAATTTTATCCTACATTTGGTTTCTTAAAATGTTATTCATATTTTAGTCAAATATTTTATTTTTGAAATCGCAAGAATCAAATATCATAACATTGAAAAGTTTTAAATTAAAAAAAACAAGCGGCGGCTGGTTAGCGACAAACGGCCGAGCGGTAAAGACGCTGAACACTGGTAGTAGTTCGAATCCCGCGAACGGGCTGGCTGCATGGGCGTTTTCGTGGTTTTCCCCATGTGTAACGTGTATACGAGCCAGTTTCCTTAGAAAGTCCTCCACGAAGGCATCCCTCCCTTTAGGCAGATAGCCCTCGTGTGCTTTGCCATAATTAAATAATCCAATCCAATCCTTAATTAAATATAATTGATTTGTAACTTCTACTAGAACTGAAGTGCAAATAAATAATATCGTGTGCAATCTTGATTAATATAAAATTAAAAATATTTGCATTCAGACAGAAAGTTTTTTGAAATATTTGCAATTACTTTATAAGAAGGATTTATTAATAACCGTAATAATTACTTATTATATTACTGATGATTAGGATTCAGTTCTTGACAATTACATTCTAAATTAGAATTTAAGAATTATTAGAATAAATAGAATAATGAAAATACGCTACGCACAAAAATACATTTTAGGATAAAAAATGAGTTGATTTTTTATGTTTTAAAACTTCTTAAATTCATTTAATAAACATCGTATCCTCGTTGTTAATTGAATCCAGAATGTTGGTGTCGTTTATATAATTATTCTTACTTGTCCACAGAATCTGCTGACTTATCCAGCCATTAAGTAGCTGCAGATCATTTCTACATAACCATTGAACTTCCATTAATTCAGTCTCTAGAGGGTTGTATGTTTATATCATAATTTGACTTTTATAAAAATGATTATTCTAAATCTTATGTTTCTATAAAAATATACTGTGCTTTAAAAATATGGATGATAGTATCAGCCGCTCTTTCAGCCACTTCAAAAGCAACAGTTTGTTTAGAAATAAATTATGCAGTTAATGTCATAAAATTCAAATAAACATCAAACGAAAATTCTCAGTTTTAGACAATTCGATTTAAACGAAGTAAAGTAGCAGACGATAAAACGCCGAAGGTAAAAATTTACTCTTACAAAAATTTTTAAAAAAAAAAAAAAAAAAGATTAAAAAATTTTTAAAAAATATTAAAAAATCTATATTTAAAAAAATAGCTTTTCATATAGTATTAATAAATATTTATTACGCATCATTGAGGGAAAAAATGTCATATAATTAATTCTCCGTAAAATTTTACTTGAAATTTAAGGTTAAAAATAGCTGTGGCAATTCAGTGTAACAAAAATCCATAGACCACATTTGGCGTTATTATCGCTCAAAAAAA